GCATATTCCACGACATCAGTATCTTGGACCTCTTTACGTGTATATGAGGGATTGATTAGTAACTCCGATGCATCGTCTGACACTGGTCCATCAGTTACTCTTACGTCATCGTCTGGTACTGGTCTAAGGGAAGGGGTTATCAGTTCAACGTCGGAATATCCCGGATTGTTGAGTAACTGCGACGCACCTTCGTCTATTTGTGCAACTCTTATCGCCGAAGTATTTGAAGCATTGTGGACTTCATCTGGAGGGGCAACACGTGTTGTTTCCATAGTACCACACACAGCTTATGCCCTTGGCTCTGTTAATTGATTTCTCTAAAAATACAAAGAAATACTGAATACGGATGTCCAAAAGAAAGTATACACACTAAAAGTATGACTAAGTTTTGTTTAGATTAAAAACATTTGATAAAGCATTACTGAGTTTGTTTCTTGCGTCCAAACTCAACATTTCTAAGCAAAATATAAATGTGAAACAAATTGACATTCTACCCAAATACCGTATACCATGGAAAAACGACCCTGGTTGATGCAGTACAAAATGCACAGTGTATACTTTCTTTTGGACATTAGTATAGTTTTAGGATGACGAGAAAACTGAGCTAGCTTAATTCACCTTTCCAGCAGCCAAATCATAGGTCATTTTCGCCTTTGTTCAGTGGATGCGAAGATGTATTTTATATTGCAAACGCTTGTATATACAAGACTGTATTATTTTTTGATTCAAGAAAAGCTACGGAGAGAGAGAGAGAGAGAGAGGGAGAGAGTTTAACGTCCACTCCATTTTATTTCAATAATTCGCTTGCGCGCAGGGGTCTTTAGCAGTGGAAAGAAACCGAAGGACCTGGAGGTTGGACAGTCGACCCTACTCCTTGTCACGTACAACCAGGGAATCGAAACCACGCCTGTTGACTCAATGACAGACCTTATAATACAGCGCGCACACGCTAACCATTCGGCCATCGAACATCCCCCTGCGTGTAAAGACGAAGCGCCTGGTAATATTGATCGAAGTATGGGAAGGAAAACCAAAGTCCCGTGGACGTAAAAGAACTCTTGACAGTTGGGATTCGATGAAGAGTGGGACGAAACGCCGATGTCCGGGCAAAATGTCACTCAAACCACCCAGCATATTGTATAGCCGTCTTAATTCGCCACGTTGATTCAGAAAAGCAGGCCCGGACAAATTATTGGGAGAGAGAGAGAGAGAGAAAAATGGGGTTTAACGTCCACTCGACACAAACTAGGTCATTTCGGGACTAACATATGGTTCAATTGTATTTCCATAATTCGCTTGCGCGTTGGGGTCTATAGCTGTGGGGGGAAACCGGAGGACCCGGAGAAAACCCACAAGGTTGGACAGGCGACCCTACTCCTTGTCACGTACAACCGGGGAATCGAAACCCCGCCAGTTGACTCAATGGCAGACCGTATGATACAGCGCGCGCGTGTTAACCATTCGGCCATCCAACCTCCCCAAATTATTGGGCGTTGGGAGGCCGAATGGTTAAACCCGCCATTTAGTCACGTGGTGTAGTTTCGATCCCATATATAGTATTAAGAATTATTGTCGCCTGTTCAACGGTTAGATCTATTTCGCATGCACACCTGCAGATGTTGTCGAGATCACGAGATGTAAACATTGTTAGGACACGCTATTGTTGCCGAGGATTGTGGGTTAGGGCTAGGGTAAGGCTTAGGGCTAGGGTTAGGGCTAGGGTTGGGATTAGCGCAAGCCCTGTTTATATATCTCATGACCTATGACGAAAAATTGAGCTGGCCTTATCATTTAGCACTAACCATATATACATAGTGAAGTTTCAAGCAAATTTACAGAATAAATTTATATAATTTGATTGGTCAGTTGAAAAGGAACTACTTTTTTTATTTTCAAAGAACAGTTCATTTATTATTAAAAGTAACTTTTTTAAAATTAAAAATCAACTATTATAATTCAGTCGACCTTGATGGAAACACTGGGTCAATATAAAGGACTTTGCAATGGTTGAATTGCTGTCAAAAAATCATGTATCACTACGCCATAATGTTCAATAAAAGTGAAATCTACAGCAAAGAACTATATTTATCTATTTGTGCATGTAAGAAGGGATTGGGTGATAAATAAAATCTCCTACTCGTCTTTTTTGATATCAAAAAATATCAACACTCGTTGATAAAGTAAAAAAAAACTCGACAGAGCCTCGTTTTTTGTTACTTTATCAACTTGTGTTGATATTTTTTGATATCAAAAAAGACTGGTAGGAGATTCTCTATATAATACAATATATCAATCTGATTAAAAGATAGATCTATATTTCGTTTCGTCTTTTATATATATATACTTTCGATGGCCTACACTACATGAAGACCTGACCAGTTGTACTGGGAGGTCGCGTCAGGGGTCATACGAGCGGCTTTTTACCTATGACGTCAGACGATTCAAGGGGTTTACCCACAGTTCCGTTCAGAGCACGCCAAGAACTCGTCGTAACATACCATTTCATTGGCTAATTCGCCACATCAACTAGAACGCCTGTTATATAACAACTCCTCCAGATCCTAGTGTTGTGAATTCAAGTAAAACGAAATTTTGATTCATAAAAAACGAAAAGAAATGGAATTTGTGTTTTAATCAGATTGCAATATATTGAACAATTATAAATTATTATTGCATTTAAAATATACAGCTTGCTTATTATTTTAATGATATCTGATTTCTCAAACACGGCCTTTAGTTTCACTATTTACAATTATATTGTCTAATATACGACAATGTCTTTGTTGCTTCATCCCTGGATATAGGTATTATTTGTTGCCGTGTTCTGTAGTAGGAACCCGGGGGATTTTTTGTTCTTCTGAAGTTGTGTTTTAATTAATTTGGGACCATATACCCTATCAGCTAAAAAAGGAATCAAAGTTATCCGTCATATTCGAAATAAACCTACGTACTTGGGTCATTGGGGGCGTTCTAAATTCAGAAACCAGTTGATTTTTTTGTTCTGAAGGGCACTTTTCAAGATTGCCTTAGCAAAGTGAGCATATGTAGCGAAGATTAACAAGTTTGATTTAGACCAACTTAACCCATCAGGGGATGTGCAACTTAAGAATTCCAATTCTGATCATCAGCCATCATGGTGCCTGTCAGGCATAGTGACAATTTTGTCCGAGAGTCTGTCATGTGACGTGGTCAAGCCCACACTTATATGTGACAACTGGAGACGGGCCGCCTGTCCAACCTCGTGGTTTTTTTTCAGGTTCTCTGGTGTCCTCTCACTGCTAAAGACCCCTAAATAAAATTGATCAATATATGTTATTACCAAAATGACCTACCTTCTCTTTCGCTCTCTGTAGTTTATGCACTGTAAATCACTTTCTCCTCTTCCGAGTCTCCTCTCTTTGACTTGGTTTTGTTATATGTATTTGATTTCGTTTAAAGAAATCCTGGATATTTCAAAATGATATATAAGTCCATAAGATTACTGTCCCCAAATATATAACTGTTTGTGAAGTTAACCAAGTATGGAGCTACAGCTATTTAAACATTTGCCGGAATAATGAGATAATCAAATTAGTACCGTATTGCACAATACACATTAATCACACACGATAGAACCGTTCTTTTAAGGGTGACGATTTTCCATTTAAAAAAACAACAAATTACGTTTTTGTTATTTTGAATTCCGTTATTTTCCATTTTAGAGCTGACTATATTCCATTTTTTTCAGCTAAAATGCTATTTTATGAATAAGACATCGTAAATTGCTCTTTATTACAAAACTGATTATTTTAAACTAATGGTAACAAATATTGAATTGGGAATGACTTTTAATGTTCAATGACTAGTTATTCTTCAAACCGGTTTCCCGTATTAAAATAACAGAAAGTTAGACCTTACGTTGTGAGCTCGTTTCAACTTTTTGGCAGCCCGAAGGACTAAATCTATTTGTTAAAGTCTCTAACTCAGTTTCATCCAATTAAGTCTTGAACATAGAAAACACGAATTATTTGTCAATTTAAATCAACATTGATGTTGTGATCTTACTGGGAAAAGATGGGCTTCTGATATCCAATATTTAAGACAAAATAAACATTTTACCATTGGTACACGAATCGTGTACCATAATGCGTTTCAGCGCCATTTACATAACAAGAGACTCGAAGAACGCAGCTAGACATATTCCACAAGTCATGTCAAACGGTGACACCATATTCTTATTTGGGGAGCATTCGCAATAAATAATATCGGTGTAGACTAGAATAGCCAGATGCTAGAGATTGCTATTGGATTGAGACTCTGGCGTATTTCGCCGAACATAACTGATTAGAAATTACAGTAAAACAGAAAACGATTGAATATAAATCAGTTTATACATTCATATTACATTATTATATGTGTTGCGACCCATTTGTGTCAATTTCTAGGTCCCAAATATTAGCGATTTAGCTCCTTTAAGGCCAGCTTAATTTTTGTCAAGGTCGTTGAGGTGTAAATAAGTTTTGGGCACGTGATTGTTGGCGAGATTGTAGGTTAGGGTAAGCATTAGGGTCAGGGTTAGGGTTAGGGTTGTGATTGAACTGGCCTTATTTTAGCACTAACCCAGACGAAGACATTTTTCCCTTCTCGACTGCGCGGGGGATTGGATGGCCGAATGGTTAGCACGTGCGCGCTGTATCATACGGTCTGTCATTGAGTCAACTGGTGGGGTTTCGATTCCCCGGTTGTACGCGACAAGGAGTAGGGTCGCCTGTCCAACCTCGTGGGTTTTCTCCGGGTCCTCCGGTTTCCTCCCACTGCTAAAGACCCCTACGCACAAGAGAATTACTGAAATAAAATTGAACCATGTATTAGTCCCGAAATGACCTAGTTTGTGTCGAGTGGACGTTAAACCCCGTTTCTCTCTCTCTCTCTCTGGACGTTATAAAACCCCATTTCATTTCATTTCATTTCTCTCTCTCTCTCTCGGCTGCGCGCACCGATCTATATATAGATCAGTGATATCACACTGGGAACGATTTGACTTAAGGGAGAGTCTGGATATGCCAGTCTATCTCTAAAAAAGCAACATGGCAGCGAAAGCACAACAGCAAGTTGACATTTCTCAATTACCGATAAATCAACTGAACCAGTTGGCACAGCAAGTCGAACAAGTATGAATTTTATACATTTTAAAAATTTCGTCACACGAAACACTTTATATGTCGATATACGTCAAATTTATGAGGAAAGAGCTCTGATCAGCTTTAGTTTAAAATTGTAAATTGTCAGGACTGAGGAGAAATTGAAGAAACCGGAGGGTTCGTACGCTCTGGGAAAACCAGGAAAGTTATGGAATTCCATCTATGCAAATTTCAGGCTTGGAAAACCTGGAATATGAGTATTTGACCATGGAATTCCCACCACCATCCAGCAATGAACTTTTTCTCAAAAGTTTATTTCATTTATTGAATTTGTAAAACTGTTAAAAAAATAGACTGATGTAAGTGATGAGTAAAGAAACTTCCGGAGTCTTTTTTCCTAGATGCAATAGTCATTTGACAGTGGGGGGTTGGATGGCTGAATGGTTAGCACGTGCGTGCTGTATCATAAAGTCTGTTATTGAGTCAACTGGCGTGGTTTGGAATCCCCGTTTGTATGTGACAAGGGGTAGGGTCGCCTGTCCAACTTCGTGGGTTTTCTCTGGTTTCCTCCCACTGCTAAAGACCCCTACGCACATGCGAATTATGGAAATAAAATCGAATCCATATGTTAGTCCCGAAATGACCAAGTTTGTGTCGAGTGGACGTTAAACCTCATTTCTCTCTCTCATTTGACAGTTCTCATTTTTGCTTGATAATGCGGACTTCGTACTGTAGCAGTCTCACAACAAATTATAAATAATAGCCTACCATGGATGATCAACCGTCATGTGAATTTTATTAAATAAACCAATGTCAGTTAACCCATTGTGTGTTTTATTTCACGCTGATTGTAATGTCATGGCGTAGAATTAGAACACAAAACCTACACATGAAAACAAACTAACCCGTTTTACGGTGTATAAGTCGTCGTGCAATATAAGTCGAATCGTCATATTTTTACTGACAGTACAATATACCGGAAAAACAACCAGAAAACACCATGTTATACTGAATACCGGAAAACATGGGAAAAATACTAATTACCAGAAAACACACTAAATACCGGAAAACACACTAAATACTGGAAAACACCCTAAATAAATAACTTGGAGTCTGGTTCTCTGTGTGCAGGTTAGGTTTTTTCGATGTTTTCAAGTATTCAGTATAACATGGTGTTTTCCGGTGGTGTTAGTGTTTTTCCGGTTGTTTTCCGATATATTACCCATATTTTACCCTTTTTCTGACATTCATCCATAAATGATAGATTGAAGTGGTGTATAAGACGAATGTTTTTCAACTCCGCGGTAGCAGTCATTTATCGAGATACACAAGTTTTATTCTAGTCTCTTAGTAATACTGTGCCGATGTAGGTCAAGAAACAATTAATATAAAATAATTTGTTGATAAATGTAGGACAGACTTGAGAAATAATCCAAGTTTTGTTTGTGGTTCATTTAAGAGAGGGAGAGAGAGCGAGAGCGATGTAATGGGGCTTAATTGTCCACTCGACACAAACTAGATCATTTTGGGACTAACACATGGTTCAGTTTTATTTCAATAATTCTCTTGCGCGTAGGGGTCTTTAGCAGTGGGAGGAAACCGGAGGACCCAGAGAAAATCCACAAGGTTGGACAGGCGAACCTACTCCTTGTCACATACAACCGAGGATCGAAACTATGCCAGTTGACTCAATGACAAACCCTATGATAAGGCGAGCACATGCTAACTGTTCGACCATCCAACCCCCCTCCCGGTTCAATTGAACCAGTTTTTATTTCAACATATCGGATAAATACTAGCAAATAGGTAGGCTAATCCGATTAACGTTATTTAAATTAGAATAATATAACAAAGTAGAAAACTGAAGTAGAAATTTCGCGAGACGTGGGAAATTACCATAGAAGTCAGATGGAAACGTGAAAATTCTAGGGTTTATGATTATAATTTGAATGGTGGTTGGGTTTTTAAATAAAAGAAATAAACAAGCTGAATATATATTCTTTGGTTGGCATTTAGTAATTGAACATATTAACAAAGGGTACAATTGTATGGATAGACAATTACTGAGTTTAAAACTAAGCGTCGTTGCTTGATAAAGACGAGAGTATCCTCGTCGAAATGTCGCCAAGTATTAATCTCAATAATTGTGAATCTATAATATTGTACCATGTTAATATTTTCAATTACTAAATGCCAATAAAAGAAAAACTGTGGTCCTGTGACTGTAGTTGCGCTCTGTATGGTCATTAGCCCAGTCAGTGCACAAAATTAGGATGTTAAACTGCATTTCATGGGTTAATGGCAGAATGGTAGCACGTGCGCGCTGTATCATAAGGACTGTTATTGAGTCAACTGGCATGGTTTCGAATCCCCGGTTTTACGTGACAAGGAGTAGGATCGCTTGTCCAACCTCATGGGTTTTCTCCGGGTCCTCCGGTTTCCTCCCACTGCTAAAGACCCCTATGCGCAAGCGAATTATTGAAATAAAATTAAACCATATGTTAGTCCTGAAATGACCTAGTTTGTGTCGAGTGGATGTTAAACCCCATTTCTCTCTCTCTCTCTCTTTCTCATTTCATTTCAATTTTTTTCAGTTAAATATACCATACCATAACTTGTCTTTTTCAGGAAATTGAGTTCTTTCAAACGTCGTTGACACAATTGAAATTAGCTCAAGGAAAGTTTGTGGAATCTCAAGAATGTATGAACAAAGTTTCGCCTGAAAATGTTGATAAAGAAATCCTTGTTCCCCTGACAAGCTCTGTATCCTTTTAAACTTTAATTGTGTTTGTAAATTCTGGTGAGAACATTTGCGGATTTGGGTAGTCGAATTAGATCAGAAAGTCTGTCATTAAGTCGTGTGACATGGTTTCGATTCCCGGTTGTAGGTGACAAGGAGTAGGGTCGTGGGTTTTCTCTGGGTTCTCCGGTTTCCTGCCACTGCTAAAGACCCCTATGCGCAAGTGAATTATTAGAATAGAATCGAACCATAGTCCTGAAATGACCTAGTTTGTGTCGCATGGACCTCTCTCTCTCTCTCTCGGGGGGTTTGATGGCTGAATGGTTAGCATGCGCGTGCTGTATCATAAAGTCTGTCATTGAGTTGACTGGCGTGGTTTCGAATCCCCGGTTGTACGTGGCAAGGAGTAGGGTCGCCTGTCCAACCTCGTGGGTTTTCTCCGGGTCCTCCGGTTTCCTCCAACTGCTAAAGACCCCTATGCGCAAGCGAATTATTGAAATAAAATTAAACCACATGTTAGTCCCGAAATGACCTAGTTTGTGTCGAGTGGATGTTAAACCCCATTTCTCTCTCTCTCTCTCAGCTTTTGTGTAATGCTTGTTATGATTTGAAGCCATACATGTAGTGGCTGACTGTCCATGTAAAATTTCCCTCATAGCACACACTATGGCGTAAGCTAGTTTTCATTAACTCAGTTTGTGCAGAAAAGTGAATCTTAAAATTCCATGTCATATTTTATTATAAGACTCTTTCTTAAACAGTCACTATGCAAGAGATAAATCTGCCCATTGCAGGTCTTTCTTTAGGCCTTAAATGTTATCTAAACTAGTAATTCTTCCTACAACTTAGCTCAGAATAACATAATTTGAATGAAATTTCAATATATTCATTTTGCATTATCTATTTTTGAACTATAATAACAAGAATGATCAGCTTTTACATAAATCTTACATATGAATCTTTAATATAACTATTATAGCAAGAACATCCAGCTCTTTATCTAAATCTTACATATGTATCTTTGATATAACTATTATAGCAAGAACATCCAGCTCTTTGTCTAAATCTTACATAATGTATTTTTGAACTATTATAGCAAGAACATCCAGCTCTTTGTCTAAATCTTACATAATGTATTTTTGAACTATTATAGCAAGAACATCCAGCTCTTTGTCTAAATCTTACATAATGTATTTTTGAACTATTATAGCAAGAACATCCAGTTCTGTATCTAAATCTTACATGATGTATCCTTGACTAGTAGAGAGGTCACGTTGGTTAAGTTGGTAAGACGCTGGCTTGCTAGCCTGGAGGTCAGGTGTTCGATCCCTGCATTGGCCGAAAAAGTTCATCCAGATTTTCCTTTGTGGTCCCTCCTTGTCAGTGATGCAGGACGGAGGGCCTAACAAGGACAGCTGTCTAGTCGTTCGGATGGGGCGAAAAAGCGAGGTCCCCTTTTACTCATTGGCGTGCACAGAAAAGATCCCTTGACAGATGGAATTCGATATAAGAGTATACCTTAGTGTTGCTGTCCGGGCCAAATTTCTCATTTAGCACACTGTATGATGTAGCCCATCTTCATTAGCCCAGTTTGGAGCAGAACAGTAGGACGTTAAACCCCATTTCATTTCATTTTCATTTCTTAACTAGTAATAGATGTATGTACCAGGTCAGTTGAGCAGTGCTGAAAATGTATTAATAGAAATAGGAACTGGGTATTATGTAGAAATGGTAAATATGTATTAAAATTAATTCATCTGTGTTACTGGCGTGGTTTCGAATCCCCGGTTGTACGTGACAAGGAGAAGGGTCGCCTGTCCAGCCTCGTTGGTTTTCTCCGGGTCCTCTGGTTTCCTCCCACTGCTAAAGACCCCCTACGCATAAGCGAATTATTGAAATAAAAATTAAACCATATGTTAGTCCTGAAATGACCTAGTTTGTGTCGAATGGACATTAAACCCCCATTTCTCTCTCTAATTCATCTGTCAGTCCATTCATCACACCTCATGGAACACAAGAACTCTGCTTCTGATTGTGCTAGAATGTCTAAACTTGGTAAAGGTGTTCTTTAGGTGAATGCCTTGACTGAATTTGATTTCGATGATGAGCATTTTCTGCTGGGACAAGATAACTCTGATTCTAATTAAGTGAGAGTGATGGAACTTGGTAGGGTGGTTAGATGGCCGAATGGTTAGCACATGCGTCCTGTTTCGTAAGGCCTGTCATTGAGTCAACTGGTGTGGTTTCGATTCCCTATTTGTACGTGACAAGGATTAGTGTCGCTTGTCCAACCTCATGGGTTTTCTCCGGGTCCTCCGGTTTCCTCCGACTGCTAAAGATCCCTGCGTGCAAGCGAATTATTAAAATAAAATTGAACTATGGTATGTGTTAGTCCCGAAATGACCTAGTTTGTGTCGAGTGGACGTTAAACCCCATTTCACTCTCTCTGGAACTTGATGTATAGTTTCATTACATCAATACTGACTATGTTCAATGATAAGCATTTGCTGCTCGAGGTTAGCAGTTTTCATATGCAGTTTGATTGCTTTACAGAAAACATTAGTACGAAATATGCATAGATCAACTTTTTGATTCCCTTTCACTTGAATCCAATTCTGAAGGACAGAGTCAGATCTGTATATTATTAATTATATGATAATTATAAAAATTTGTTCTTTCTGCTGTTTTATAAATATCTACTCCTTACTGCTCTCTGCCAACATCATCGTTTGATCCAGTAGCTGCACAGAACTATGTTTATTTCTTACAATATCTATATAGTTTGTCCTGTCTATAGTTTTCTTTTGTGTGTAGTTCTTTCCTCCTGCACTTCCTATATCATGTAACAGTGATGCAGAACAGAGGGCTTAAAGAGGACAGCTGTCTTGTCTTTCGGATTGGACGAAAAACCGAGGTCCCGTGTACACATTGGCATGCACTGACAGTTGGAATTCGATATATGAATAGACTGTAGTGCCGCTGTCTGGGCCAAATTCCCCTTATCATAGCACAGTTTATAGCATATGCCGGTCTTCATTAGCCCAGTTCAGAGCAGAAAAGTAGGACGTTAAGCCCCATTTTATTTCATTTCATATTGCTAAAGTTTGATATTTGAATATATTTGGGGGGTTGGATGGCCGAATGGTTAGCATGTGCGCCGTGTATCATAGGGTCAGTCAAGAAGTCAACTGGCGTGGTTTTGATTCCCCGGTTGTACGTGACAAGGAGTAGGGTCGCCTGCCCAACCTCGTGGGTTTACTGCAGGTCCTCCGGTTTCCTCCCACTGCTAAAGATCCCTACGCGCAAGTGAATTATTGAAACAAAATTGAACCATGTGTAGTCCTGAAATGACCTAGTTTGTGTCGAGTGGACGTTAAACACCATTTCTCTCTCTTTCTCTTTTTGAATATATTTATTGATGTTTGAATATATTTGATGTTCGATGTTTGTTTTATTTTAGTCGGTAGATAAAGGTAAAGATTATTTCAAGAGAAAGATAGAATACATCTCTAAACAGATGGAAAAAATTCAACCAATTTTACAGGATAAATACAAGATGAAACAAGGTAAACATAAATTACTGATATTACGGATGGAGGGGTGGATATTACAGATGGTGGGGTGGAAATTACAGATGGTGGGGTGTATTTTACAGATGGTGGGGTGGATATTACAGATGGTGGGGTGGATATTACAGATGGTGGGGTGGATATTACGGATGGTGGGGTAGATATTACAGATGTTGGAGTGGATATTATAGATATTGGGTGGATATTACGGATGGGTAGGTGGGTGGATATTACAGATGGCTGGGTGGATATTACAGATAGTGGGGTCGACAATGGTTTATTACGGATGGTGGGGTTGACAAATGGTCTATTACATGTCCTTTAGATCATGCAGTCTGACGATGAAGAAAAGTAGTATCTTATCTGCCATTCAGACAAGTGTTGTAGTTTGGATCCTAGTGTTTTACATGTCAGTGAGTAGGGTTGCCTTCCTAACCTTGTGGGTTCTCTCTGGGTTTTACATGCCAGGGAGGAGGGTTGCCTTCCTAACCTTGTGGGTTCTCTCTAGGTTTTACGTGCCAGGGAGGAGGGTTGCCTTCCTAACCTTGTGGGTTCTCTCTGGGTTTTACATGCCAGTGAGGAGGGTTGCCTTCCTAACCTTGTTGGTTCTCTCTGGGTTTTACGTGTCAGTGAGGAGGGTTGCCTTCCTAATCTTGTGTTTTCTTTTAGTTGCCTCCCTGAACAATGTTACTCCCATAATGACCACATTTCTCTTCCTGATTTTCCAAACTCTGTTCTCTCTGTTGTCTGATAAGGAAAGTGTGGCTAGCCGTTTTGAATGAGATGGAAAACTGAAATCCACCTGTTTACATGCAAGTTAAAGAAACCTTAGCAGATTGAATTTGATGAAAAGTATGCGGAAACATTGCTGTTAGGACTTTTCTTTCCCTCATACCTCACTGCATGGTGGATGGCCATCTTTATTATCCCAGTTGGAGTCGAACAGTAGAACGTTAAACTCCGTTTCATTTCAAAAACAAGTAGAGCAGTGGATGGAGCCATGGTGGCTGGCCGAGAAAGTTCATCAGGATTATCCGCCCTTCCCGCTTGTCATTTGGTGCAGGACAGAGAGCCTTGCAAGGTTCAACATAATCGTTTAGATGGGACAATAAGCCAAGGTACCGTGTACCCATTGGAGTGCGTGTAAAAGATCCCTTGGCAGCTGAAATGCTATATAAGAGGTCTTAGGGCTGTTGTTTCGGGCAAAATTTCCCTCATAGCACACAATATGTTGCATGCAGTGTGCTATGATGACGGAAATTTTACCGGGCAACGCTACATTCTACTCTTATAGAGAACTTCAGCTGCCAAGGGATCTTTTACTTGCACTCCAGTGGGTACACAGGGCCACGGTTTATTGTCCCATCCAAAAGACTAGACAGGCAATTCACCTAAACAGCTGTGAATGACCATAAATAGTTTTGTAGTTTGAGGCTGCAATGGGAACAGTAGTTTCTTGAGTAAGCAAACTCATTGTTAAAAGTATAAAGTTTCTACATTTTTTCAGGGAACTAGGGTAGTGATTGTTTACGTATTGCAAAAGGCTTAAATTATTCCAGAAATTGATTTAAGGACTACTTGAAAAAAGGGAGATAACTCTTGTATTTCTCTGTTGCATTAAGCCCCACAGTACACCATTTACTGTTAATTCTCATCTCTTTTCCCCCAATCTTTGTTGGTTTGAATGATTTATACCACAGTTGGAGCAACATGTTTGTTACTCAAAAGCATGTATGAGCTTCACTATGGAAATTTTGTAATACATAAACTGAAAGTAGCAAACTAGTAAACCTGTAACTATCCATCCTAATTTTAACCTAGCCAACCTCTTTAACTCTCTTATCCTCCTGGCCTCCTCAAAATCATGCATATTCACCAAAACCTGGCAGAAAATGTATATTTAATTTAAACCCATTTCTTCGATTTCTACACCAAAAATTGCTATAATATGGTGGAGGGGGGTGTGGGAGTTGGGGGGGGGGGGGGTGAGAGAAAAAGACAATTATTACCTCTGCACTGCATTTGTGGGGTAACTGACCAGATGTAGAAATTTTAACGAACAAACATTTTTGGGAAAACATTGCAGTTTTGAAACAAGCACATTCTGCAGATTAATTTAATATATAGTTTATGTAGTAACCAAAAACTTGCACCCTTCGCCATTTTATAAAGGCCTTACAGGTTTCGGCCCACGGCCTATATCCCGTGTTCAATCCTATTCAGTTTATGGAATAAAATATTGTTTCAACTAATGACATGATTTATCTTTCTGTTTTAGCCATGGTAGAAATTTTACAGATGAAAGTTCAAGCACAGATAGCAGCACAACAGGGTTCACAAGGTTCAGCACAACCTGCAAAAGCTTAAACATTGCCGATTAGATCCAATCTGTTTCATAAAGTCATCTTATATGATATGGGGATATCAGAGCCCATACACCTGTTAACACTATTTAATTGTTTCAAGCTTATATAATAAATGAACTGGAATATAATTGCTGTTTACTCTGCTTTAGATCTTGACCATAACCCTGAAAAAAAACCCACCTTAACCCCAAGGGATGTCTATACATCTCTCCATGGAGGATAATGAATCGCTGTGTTATATAATCGCTGTGTTATAAACAAATAATACTTTCATGAAGTTAAATTTGCGCGACTCAAATTAATTTTAGAGACGACAAAATTCCTTGTAACTTGAGTTTACTTTTTGCATAGCGCAAATATTGAAATAATGCGTAATTTTAAGACTTACATAGATTCAGACATAACATACGAGACAAAAAATATCTGCACATAGAAGTAGCAACCATTTAAAATTCAAATAACACACTATTTATGGATAACAATTACTGTGGTTTATTTCACTGCGACGTTTCAACAAGATTTCACAAGTCGTTATCAAGCATATAACAAGCTTTCTTGAAATCATATACTTAACAAAAATAGATTCTTTCTACATATTCTACGCCATCTTGGAACTACTCCGACCATGTCTCAATGGCATGGTTCAGTATTTTCGGACTATGGTCCGGACTAAATGAAATTCGGATTCAGTTAGACCGACCATAGTCAAGAAATCACGATAACCGAAGGTCGCCGAGAATTTTTCCGTTTTTATCAAAACGTCAAGGGATCTTTTACAAGCACGCCAATGTGTACACAGGACCTCTGTTTTTCGTCTCATCCGAATGACTAGACAGCTGGATGAACTTTCCCGGCCGATGCAGGGATCGAACACCCGACCTCCAGGCTAGCGAGCCAGTGTCTTGCCCACTTAGCCACGTGTTTTTATCAAACAATGATACACTTGTATAGAATGGTTTTACATCTACACTGTAGATTATAAGATCTGTCATTGAGTTAAGTGGGGGGGGGGGGAGGGATCAAGGGGTTGCAGTGTCACAACCACTGGTTGTTAATATTCAGTATGTAAACAAACCCAAAAACCCCTCTTTGCGTCTTGTAATATTATAGTCATTGCAGCCATTTTATATTTCATTCTCTTCATTTTAAAAAGTGCCATAGTCCATGTGAATCAAAGCAGGAATGTGGACGTATATTGCAGCAGTAGTGATGCTCTTGTTTAAAAATCGTATCATTGGTTGATAAAGTCTATAGAATCCTTATAGAAACGTCATCAAGACAGAAAAACTAACGTATATTTAATAACATCAACTTTGGAATGAAATGCAGACGGTTACAGTGATTAAAGTGTTATAACCAGGTCAGACTGGGCTACGGACCATCGGATGAGGTCCAAGTGGCCCCTCAAAAAAAACATTGATATTTTGGCCTATTTTGTTCCAAATAAATAAAATTCGTCTTCATATCCACTGAAACAAAAAAAAAAATGTCCGAGGTGTGAGGAGTGTCGGAGAGGTGAATCAAACCAGTTTTGATTTTACTCGTATCACATATTATTCACCGCCAGTGGTTCTCAGCACACTTAGAAAATTTCTCACAAAAGAGGCCAGCTATTTGACTGATGAAATTTTGAAACATTGCAATAAAGTAAGTTCATATCTGTGTTTTTCTTTATTTAGTTTGAGACTATGACTAGTTTGTGTCTACGGTTGTATGCAGTATTTTCATATATATTTATCCAGGTGTGCCGCAATTTTTTTCATGTGTTTCAATGTGTGCCTTTGGCAAAAAAGGTTGAGAACCACTGTTGAGAACTACTCAAGTCTCCCCCTGATTATAACTGTTTTATAGATATTGATATAATATTGTTGAGCTTCTTTATACCTATTTAAACGTGCCATCAGCTCCAAATGGTTTTGTGTTTGAAATATAAAATGTATAATATTTATACTGTGTTTAATCTCTTTTTGGGTTGGGGGGGATGGCCAAAAGGTTAGCACGTGCGCGCTGTATCATAAGTCTTTGTCATTGAGTCCACTGGCGTGGTTTCGATTCCCCGGTTGTATGTGACAAGGAGTAGGGTCACCTGTCCAACCTTGTGGGTTTTCTCCGTGTCATCCGGTTTCCTCCCACTGCTAAAGACCCCTACGCGCAGTGAATTATGGAAATAAAATTAAACCATATGTTGGTCCCGAAATGACCTAGTTTATGTCGAGTGGACGTTAAACCCCATTTCTCTGTGTGTGTGTGTCTCTCTGTCTCTTTTTACTGAACCATGTTGAAATCCAGCGAGTCAGCTCCCTATTTACTGAGCCATCTTGAATCCCAGAAGTCAAAAAAGTTACCTAAAAAAAACACACATGGCAAGTAACAAACACGTGTCTAAGGCATGCGCTTCAGATCATAAGGCCTGTCATTGAGTCAAGTGGGGTGGTTTCGATTTCCAGCTTGTATGTGACCTGTGACCTCCTCACCCCTTAACTGCTAAAAACCCCTTTGTGCTTATGGAGTATTGAAATAAAATTGAAGCATAGTTTGTGTCGAGTGGGTGCTAAACGCTTTTTCTTTGCCCATTTGCTAATGACACACAGGATATGGGCTGGCTTACAACAGGGTTCCCGCAGCTTCGTCAAACATTTTTTCAAGGATATTCAAGGATAAATATTCGTCAAATTCAAGGATTTTCAAGGACATTTTTTAGCCTAATCTCATATTTAAAAGGAATTGAAGACATTTGAAACAAAATTAAGGATCTCAACTGAAATTCAAGGATATTTTCCTATTTCCGCGAAATTCAAGGATATTCAAGACCTTGAAAATGAAATTTTAAATTTAAGGATATTCAAGGATTTTCAACGACCGCAGGAACCCTGTACAAACCATGAGATGATAGAGAGAAATGGGGTTTAACATCCACTTGACACAAACTAGGTCATTTCGGGACTAACACATTGTTTAATTTTATTTGAATAATTCACTTGTGCGTTGGGTTTTTAGCAGTGGGAGGAAACTGGAGAACCCAGAGAAGACTTATGAGGCTAGACAGGCGACCTTACTCCTTGTCACGAAAACCGGGGATTCGAAACCACGCCAGCTGACTCCATGACAGGCCTTATGATACAGTGTGCATGTGCTAACCATTCGGCCATCCAACCTCTCACCATGAAATGAAGAGTCCAATCTCATTGTTAACCGAGAAAGTTAGAATTGCAGGACAGAGGGCCTGGCAAGAAACAATGTCTAGTCCTTTGATTAGGAAGAAAATACAAGATTATATGTACTGTTGGGGCATGCATGCTAAAGACACCCTATCAGATGGAATTCAAAACAAGAGTACGCTGTAGTGTGGCTGCCTGGGCACAATTTCCCCACAGCATCACTACATTGCGTAAGCCCCTCTTCCTTAGCTCAGGTGGTGAAAAAAAGTAGGATGTTAAACCCAATTTCATTTCATTGTCAACAAGTCTTGGTGTGTGTGAAATAGTTTTATTTAACGCCGCGTCCACCGAGGTGACACATCGCAGACAACAACATGTTATATACATAGTGAAATTATTTACAACGTGATTAGCGAAAACGGATTTAAAGGAGCTAAATTGCTAATATTTGGGACCTAGAAATTGACCCAAATGGGTCGCAACGCTTGAGTCTCAACCGAATAACAATTTCTAGCGTCTGGTTTTTCCAGTCTATTGCACATGCTCTCCAGATAAGATATGGCGTCACCTTTTGACATGAATTGTGGAATATGTCTAGCCTCGTTCTTTCTGGTCACTTGTTACAAATGACGCTGAAACGCACTATGGTACACGATTCGTGTACCAATGGTAAAATGTTTATTTTGTCTTAAATATTGGATATCAGAAGCCTACCTTTTCCAGGTAAGATGCCAACATCAATGTTGATTTGAATTGACAAATAATTTGTATTTTCAACGTGTAAGACTTTGGATGATATTGAATTAGAGATTTAGCTACTTTAAAAGGATTATTGTTGAGTGTAGGGCCTGGTTTATTCTTTCTTCCATTTTTTCCTTCTTGTCCGGTATGGTAGTTGATTTCATCTTCATTTCTGTTGTTTTTTCCTTTTGTTGGGGGGGACGTTAAACCCCATTCCTCTCTCTCTCTCTCTCTCTTTTGTTTGGGGGGGGGGGGGGTTGGATGACTGAATGGTTAGCGTGCGCGCGCTGTATCATAAAGTCTGTCATTGAGTCGACTGGCGTGGTTTCGAATCCCTGGTTGTACGTGACAAGGAGTAGGGTCGCCTGTCCAACCTCGTGGGTTTTCTCCGGGTCCTCCGGTTTCCTCCCACTGCTAAAGACCCCTACGCGCAAGTGAATTATTGAAATAAAATTAAACCATATGTTATTCCCGAAATGACCTAGTTTGTGTCGAGTGGACGTTAAACCCCATTCCTCTCTCTCTCTCTCTCTCTTTCCTTTTGTTATTGGTTCTCTGAAGGAAGAATCCAGCACCTGAAAAGAAAAAGAGGTATTTTAAAAGAGGTCCCTTTAAGTCATACCATCAGACGTCTTGGTGATCTAGTCTACCCATACTATCAGACGTCTTGGTGATCTAGTCTATCCCAACCAGTTACGTAACACGCCAATCCTTATCCGTAAACTAACCTGTCAATGGCGTGTCAAGGCAAATTAGGCAACACACTTCATTCTCTTACTTTAACAAAAGTAAAGTAGGCTTACTAACTAAACTGTCAACATGCTTCTTCATTCTACTTGAACAAAAGCAGGCTTTCGGTGTCCACATTCCAGGTCATCATCATTATCGTGTCGACGGAGCGGCCAAGGCCATAGATAGATAGATAGATTTTATTACATAAAACACCCTTTTCGGACAGCATGTAAATTATCCATTACAGAGAGAGAGAGAGAGAGATGGGGTTTAACGTCCACTGACACAAACTAGGTCATTTCGGGACTAACATATGGTTTAATTTTATTTCAATAATTCGCTTGTGCGTATAGGGGTCTTTAGCAGTGGGAGGAAACCGGAGGACCCGGAGAAAACCCACGAGGTTGGATATCCATTACAGTATGCATGATAAATACATAAGAAAATGAAATGGGGTTTAACGTCCTACTGTTCTGCTCCTATACTGGGCTAATGAAGACGGGCATACGCCATACAGTGTGCTATGAGGTAAATTTTGCCCGGACAGCGGAACTACGGCCTACTCTTATATCGAATACCAACTGTCAAGGGATCTTTTACGTGCATTCCAATGTATACACAGGACCTCGGTTTTTCGTCCCATCCGAACGACTAGACAGTTGTCCTTGTCAGGCCCTCCGTCCTGCATCACCGACAAGGGGGACCACGCCGGAAAATCTAGATGAACTTTCTCGGCCAATGCAGAGATCGAAAACCCGACCTCCAGGCTAGCGAGCCAGCGTCTTACCCATACAGTGTGCTATGGGGGAAACTTTGCCATGACAGCCGCACTATGGTCTACTCTTATATCAAATTCCATCTGTCAAGGGATCCCTTACGTGCACGCCAATGTGTACAAGGAACCTCGGGTTTTTCGTCCCATCCGAACGACTAGACAGCTGTCCTTGTCAGGCCCTCCGTCCTGCATCAATGACAAGGGGGAACCACGCCGGAAAATCTGGATGAACTTTCTCGGCCAATGCAGGAATCGATCACCCGACCCACTTACCCAATTAGCCACCGTGATCCCAAAAACATAAAGAAAAATGAATGAAAAATATATAAAAAGTGGATGAAAAATTCGAGAAGGCCCTATTTCGTGAGACCGAGCAGCAACATGACCATGTGATGAAGAAATGATCTATTAAGACTTGTACTAAACCTAAGGATTTATCCGTAGGGCAGAAAATCTATCTATAACCTATGGGACAAATTTCCCCGTTCACATGAAAGGATTTAGCCTATGAATATAAAACCTCAGGATAAATCCACTAGTGTGACTCAACCTTAAGCCATCACTGGAGTAACCCAAACCCAATTAAAGTATTTACTGGATGATTTGGTGGATATTGTTCAGAGAATAAATGTTTAGAGTTCATTTTTACTCAAGATATCTGTCAATAAACTGACAAAGCTTGATGATGTCCCCTATGATGAAAAACCTAATAAAACTTTGGATCATTCTCCTATCGAACGCGACCCAGCCAAGGGGCGGAACATAATGACTGACGCAGATAGGATTTGCCTGATAGAATTACAAGGCCCTTTCCAGCCATAACTCACGCATTATCCTAGAAATACTAACATAAAAGATAAGAAAAAAACAAAATGTACGTTTTCATCTGAATGGTTCAAGCAGTATCCATACCTAGAATATTCCCTCCACACAGACAACGCCTATTGCTTTGTGTGTCAGTTGTTCCCTCAATCTGACTCCAGGGATGCCTTGGTTAAAGACGGCCAGAACGCGTGGGATAAGATGAAAGGGAAGCTATCCGCTCCTTTGGTTGTAGTAACCACTAACATTACAGCAGTTGGCTAATTTAATTGACCAAGGAGGGAACAAATTGACTTGTTGATGCATAAAGCTCGGCGAAAAGAGATGATTGGTGGAGCAGCAGAGATCGAACGTAAAAGAGATGCGATCAAAATTATCCTCTATATCACCTGTACTCTTGCACGCCAAGGCTTGGCCATGAGTGGATCACGCGAAGAAAATGAAGGAAACAGTAAGTTTAATCAGTTCGTGCAGTTGCTTTCTAGACAATTGAACTGAATTGGCTATGGATTAAAACATTTTGTCTGGAACCATTCTATTTTGTGCGACATTTTTTGGCATCGATTATTTTTTGTGAATGTAGCTGCAACAATCTGATTGGATGATTGGAATTCAAGTCGGCATAGAGTGGGTTTTCGTTTGCAAAACGTTTGGACAACTTTGAAGTTGCTTAACTCACGGGCAAGAATAGTAGAAGAACGCATTGACGGCTGTCAAAATTTTCTCGGGGAGGGGAGGGCGAAGCCCCAATCCCCAGCGACGATTGATTGTTTCCTGTGGAATTAGGTCAGCCACCTAAGGTAGACTTTATTGGACCACATTGAAGTTGCTGTATTCACGAGGTGGAATTGCAGGAAAACGCATAAATGTATAGCTATCACATTTTCCGAAATTTCTTGGCTTGGGGAGGTCCGTATACGGTAAGCTCCGCTTCTTCGTGGAGCCGTCTGTAACACGAAATATTTTCGGGCATTTCAGGTTCTGCCCCTCGCCCCCTAACATCCATAATGCTTATACGCCCAGACTGCTATTGGCCAGATCATACCCCAATCCATATAAAACTTAAACTGCATATATATAGGTATTCATCTGTTGCATACAATCGTTAAATTTAATAGTCAATAATATGCTAGTTCATTCGAAAATTGATAAACATATACGTGTTGCGTGTCTGTCATCATTCCCAGTTTTACTTATAATAAATGTATGTATGAGTGGATTACAGTCAAAAAATGGTAAGTATTTTTTTTCAGATTACGACTCTTTTTCAAAATATTTAACCTGTAACAGATTTAGATTTAGAGAGTTCCTTGGATATTCCACATATGAGACCCCTCCCAATCGCCCCCACCCTCACGACTAGCGAAAGATGAAAGAGTGTTTCTGACACGCACGTGCAATCGGTGCGATTTAATGACATGTTAAAACTAATTTATTTATTAAATATTGCTTCAAATCCCTGAGGTGAAGGTCCGTTTTACTGATTGTTTTTGTCGTTATTCGCAGTCCATTTACCATAATTAAATTCTATAATTCTGCTCTGCCAACTTCTTTTTCCGCCGTTTAAGCACAAATGAAATGAAATGAAATGGGGCTTAACGTCCTACTGTTTTGCTCCGAACTGGGCTAATGAAGACGGGCATACGCCATACAGTGTGCTATGAAGGAAATTTTGCTCGGTCAGCGGCACTACGACTTACACTTGTATCGAATTCCAACTGTCAAGGGATCTTTTACGTGCACGCCAAGCACATCGACAATCACATAAATGACACGCTACAAGTCATAGCCATCATGAAAAAATGACGGTTAACTTAAAATCAGCCATTTTTAAATCCATTTTGAATTGCTGCCATGTTGGATTTTCGAAATTTATCTTTAAATTCAGAGACATCGAAAATCATATAAAAGACACAGTAAAGGTCATATCTTACGATATTTTCGCTGGTTATATGGAGAAAGTTCTATTTTATTACAATTAATTAAAATTCCGCCATTTTGGACTTCATTTAGGCGGCAATTTGGAATTTCTACCATCATGGATTCTCTATTCTGAGTACTGATTTAGATAAATTGAGTTCTACAGTGGCATTGATATGACCACTTCTAGACAAAATTTGTGAAAATGGGTTGAAGTTAATTAAAATGAAGAACAGATAATATGTATTCAAATGTTTGATATGACAAAAAAGAATCAAGTTCCTTGCAGTAACCATTATTTGTCCTTACTGTAACAAAACCAGCCCCACCCCCCATATAAGTGTATATGATGGAATAATAACTGTGTAATTGTTGTTGTAGGATACATAACATAGTGTGATTTGTTACTGTAGTAATTATCAACTATCTCAATCATTAAGGAAAGCGAGGTTAAGAATTTATATTATCAAATGCCATTCCTGTAACAAAATGTGTCCATCCAGTAACAAAATTAGCCGTTACAGAAAGGACTGTTACAGGACTGACATTACAGACACTAAATTCTTGATTAAATAATGAATTCTCTCCCACTATGCTGTTAATTTTATTCATCTAGGCAAGATCACTCAAATTCATATTTGCTGAGAACAATAAAACTTATACCCTGAATATATAAAATTGTTACTGGAAAGGTGGTTTTAAAAAATACTCATTGACTTTAGTTACCAAATGCTGTTTTTTTTTCTGGAAAATATTTAATCTAGGCAGATCAACTGTTTGTTGTCATTTAAACCACAAGGCGGGGAAACTAGGACAGGAAATTACATCATACGTCAACAAAGGGATCCTTTAATACTCTGTTACAGGATGGACATAACTTCTGGGGACAGAAATAATTTTAAAAACAAAGTAGAACAAAACTTATTTGTAACCATTACAAAAATACGTAATTGTTTTTTATATCTAAACAAGAGTTTGCTTGTATATTAATTCATTGAAGTTATTTTTGGTAAAAAAAAACAAAACTGCATAAATAATATTTGAAATATACAAAAAACAAATACGTTAATTTTCCAAAAGTGCAAAGGGACATCAAATTTTGTCGTTTTATGAACACTAAATCAAATATTTCGGGAATATTTACGATGTATCTATAATTTGTTCTGTTTTAATATAAGCAAATATATTAAAATATATTTAGTGAATACTTAAAGCTGTGTTTTATTCAGTTAGTTTTAAAAATAATCCAGAAAGACAGGAATTTCTACCAATTTTGATAATGACTCGTATGCCGTAGACTTTTCTTGCGTTTCGGAGAGCCATGCTGGCTAAGTGGGTAAAGTGAAAAAAACAAACAGCGGCTGTTAGGCAGGATACGCCCACATTTTCGAGAGGTGGATAGAGAACAAGCTAAAAACGCGATTTTTCGTACAATCAGGGGCCATTATAGGGTCCGATATGCGCGAATATCGACAATAACCAAGATCTTTGGGTTATAAACATACATTTCAAGTTTCAACAAAATCGGATAAAAATTGTGACCTCTGTAGGGTCCACAACCTTGATATACCATATTTTTACGCTATTTGAGAACGAACGGCGGCCATTTTGTCTGTCAATTTTGGGCCGATATTCACGAAATTCGAACTCAGCCGTCCTTAAGGTATAACGGTTATATAATAATACGTTTTTTTTAAATCGGATAATCGTACAATCAGGGGCCATAATTCAGGAAGTTACGGTCCGATATACGCAAATATCGAAAGGAACCGAGATCTTTCGGTTATAAACTTATATTTCAAGTTTCAACAAAATCGGATAAAAATTGTGACCTCTATAGGGTCCACAAGCTAAAAACGTGATTTTTCGTACAAACAGGGGCCATAATCCATGAAGTTTCAATCCGATACATGCCAATATCGAAAGCAGCCGAGATGTTTTGAAGCTAAACCTATATTTCAAGTTTCGTCAAAATCGGATAAGAATTGTGACCTGTAGAGTGTGCACAAACAAATTGTGGACGGACGGGCAGGGGCGACGACAATATACGTCCACATGAAAATGTGGGCGTATAAAAAAAAGACGCTGGTTCGCCAGCCAGGAGGTCACGTGTTCGATCCCTGCATTGGTCGAGAAAGTTCATCGGGATTTTCCGGCGTGGTTTTCCCTTGTCAGTGGTGCAGGACGGAGGGCTGGACAAGGACAGCTGTCTAGTTGTTCGAATGGGACAAAAACCAAGGTCCTGTGTATACATTGGCGTGCACGTAAAAGATCAATCTGTTCCGCGTAAAGATTATCATCAACGAAGCAATGACCACGCTCATTTTATCTCCTCGTCTACCGGTATCTTTTCTTTCCCATTCTTCCATTCTCCATTCCTGTTAACTAAACCACAACATTTTAAGATAGCTATCAACCAACGTCTTACCCACTTAGCCACCGTGATCCCAAATACATAAAGAAACATGGATGAAAAATACATAAAAAGTGGATGAAAATTATATAAATTGGATAAAATGTACATTTATATACATGAGGGAGTATGTACAAAATATAAATCAAAGTTTTGAATATATGTCACAGTCGCTTGAACTAAACGTGAAGAAGAGGTCCTTGAATTGTTGGTTATTTTTTGGTTTATATAGAAATGGGTGCCACATGTGACATACCAAATACATATAGGCGACGTTTTAGTTTTATTGTGTCGACGGGGCGGCCAAGGCCATAGATAGATAGATAGATAGATAGATAGATTTTATTACATAAAACACCCTTTTCGGACAGCATGTAAATTATACATTACAGTGTGCATGATAAATACATAATGAAATGAAATGGGGTTTAACGTCCTACTCCGAGCAGGTCTAATAAAGGCGAGCATGTGCCATACAGTGTGCGATGAGGGAAATTTTACCCGGACAGCGGCACTATGGTCTACTCATATCAAATTCCAACGCGTTGACGGCTGTCAAAATTTTCTCGGGGGAGGGGATGGCGAGGCCCGAATCCCCAGCGACGATTGATTTGTTTTTTGGGGATTCAGGTCAGTCACCTAAGGTACGCTATATTGGACCACATGGGAGTTGCTGTATTCACGGGCTGGAATAGCAGGAAAACGCATCAATATACGGCCATCACATTTTCCAAAATTTCCGTACAAGGTACGCTCCGCTTCTTCGCAGAGCCGTCTGTAACACGAAATATTTTCGGGCATTTCAGGTTCTGCCCCCCCCCCCAACATTTATCAAGCCGATACGCCCAGATCAAACCTCAATCGATATAAAATATAAAACTTAAACTGCATATATTCATCTGTTGCATACAATCGTTAAATTTAATAGTCAATAAGAAGCTAGTTCATGTGAAAATTGATAAACATGTCAATCATTCCCAGTTTTACTTATAATAAATGTATGTATGAGTGGATTACATTTAAAAATGGTAAGTTTTTTTTTCAGATTACCACTCTTTTCAAAATATTTAACCTGTGTAAGATTTAGATTTAGAGAGTTCCCTGGCTATTCCACCCATGAGACCCCTCCCAATCGCCCACCCTTACGACTAGAGAAAGATGAAAGAATGTTTCTGACACGCACTGTAGAGTGCCTCCCCACGTGCAATCGGTGCGATTTAATGACACGTAGAAACTAATTTATTTATCAAATATTGTTTCAAATCCCTTTCAAAAATTTTAATCGGAAGAAAACTACTCCAAGCTGTACTAATCTATTTTAGAGTGCCTTGATTCTCACGTGACTTGATAGGGGGGGGGGGGGCGTTTTTTCTGACTGCTTTTGTCGTTATTCGCAATCCATTTACCATAAATAAATTCTGGCATTTTGCTCTGCCAACTTCTATTTCCGCCGTTTAAGCACAAAGCCTGCAGAACGTTGAAGCCTCTAACGTAAGAGCTCCCAACATCATTCAGTCAGAACGGTAGCATTCGGGCTTTAATGGCCGGCTTTCACGTAGTCTACGAGAGAGTTGGATGCCCGATTGGTTAGCACGTGCGAGCTGTATCATAAGGTATATTACTGAGTCAACTGGCGTGGTTTCGATTCCTCGGTTGTACGTGATTTCGGTTGCAAAACGTTCGGACAACTTTGAAGTAGCTTAACTCACGAGTAGGGTCGCCTGTCCAACCTCATGGGTTTTTTTCCATGTCCTCCGGTTTCTTCCCACTGCTAAAGACACCTACGCGCAAGCGAATTATTGAAATAAAATTGGACCATGCGTTAGTCCCGAATTGACCTACTTTGTGTCGAGTGGACGTTAACCCCATTTCTCTGTCTCTCTCTGTCACCTGGTCTACGAATGCTACGAATCGCCCCGAATAGTGGCGAATCGAAGTTCGTGGCGATTCGACAAAAATATCGTAGAGAATGTGGAGAAGCTACGAAGCAATTACAAATAGTTTACAAAAGAGTTACGATAATGCCTGATGTGTCAAGGTAGGGTTACGATAAAGGTCTGAAATGAAAGAATCATCTATACGAATTGAAGCGATTCAATTACGAAAGTGTTAAGGATAAGTCGAATCGCTTAAGAATATGCCGAATTCAGTTACGAATACACTACGCGCTCTACGGATGATACCGATAAAGCTACGAAACGTTTACGATATTCGGCACTATTCGTCAAAGAATCCAATAGGAAGCTGTTACGGACGATAAGAAAGGGCTGCGACGGGATTACGATACATCTACGAATTCCGAAATTTGTAGACCGTCCACAAAAGTTTTTGACAGATAAAATTTGTAGACCGCCACGAAATGTTTTGACAAACAAAAACTTTCGCTGCCAAACTACGAACTGCTACGAACAATACGAATGTGTAAGAACCAAATAAGAATCACTCGCGAACTTCAAGAACCGTCTGCGATTTCTCTATGAACTGGAAAAAGCGAGCGTGCGCAGTCTGCCCCGCTTTGTCATCAATGCTAGGATCTTATAATGTAATCCCAATTTTAACGAATACAAACAAGTTTTAAAACCCATACAATACGTAGAAGTTCATGGCACAAACACCCCGCGCGGTTGTATTATGGTATCATGGCTGCGTTCATTATTCTGTCTAGGGTTCAGATTCTGATACCATTACGATACCTGAAAATAACAGTAAACTTTATTTTAATTGAGTCGTGTTACGAAGGTAACAGAATACACGTATAGCTGTGACGGCTTCTTTGATAACCGAGAAACTCAACCTCAAACGGATATAGCTCAGTCAATTTTATAGTTTAATATCAGTTATCGTTTTAAATAAAGCAACCGAACTGCAGTCGCCTTGACACCAAAAGTTTTCCAATGTGAACCCTGAATAAGCTCGTGCACGCTTTTACATGTATAAATAGAATTGTCACTTTGATCAAGAAGGCGTTACTTGATTGATGACCCCGTGCTCTGCACGGACAATTCGTGAAACGGTATAACGCAAAGTCTGAAATGGTCGTGTTGCCGTTTGAATTATATGGTATTTCTTTTTTTTATCAGAAATCGGGTTATATGGTGCAAATTTGCAGATACCAATTATAATTTAAATAAATAGATATTCACACGATTGTTCAGTACTTAGAATGCAGCTTGTATTTATGCATTGGTATGTGTATGGAATTCATTATTTCTGTTATCTACTATATATCCTACCCTATTCTATCTATCTGTTTTGCATGTTGAAAGTCTTTGAAGAAAGACTGAAACAATGGAAATCAAGAGTTTATTTATCAATTTATTTTATTATTTTATTTATCCAGGTTTTTTCTAGATGTCTATTTAAAGTGCTTGGCTTCTTTTTTATCATAACCTTTGTAGTGCAGATGATGATAAAATGGAGGTTAGTGAAATGAAAACAGTTTCCTTAAAAGGTTAAAAATACAGTTCGGTGACCATGTATATTTCGAATGGGCCACATGTAATGAACACTCGTAATATGAATCGAATGGTGCAAATTTTATGAAAATTTACTCTTTTAAGAGCACAGATACTTTTAAAAATCACGTAAAAGTTGCCTATTACTCGTAAATGGAAAAAAAATAGAATGTGGTTCCTCCTTGCCAGACAATGAACAGTGTCAATTCGTTCGGATGGGACGAAAAACAGAAGCCCTGTTATACATTGGCGTGGTGCTAAAATAATCTTTGTTGAATTCGAAACGTTTTTTTTTATAATTATTGTTTTGTGAGTCAGTCATTTTCTAAAATTAGTTCCGCATTGTCTTTTGGGGTAGGTTTTTTATATTTTTTTCTATTACAAATGGCGCTCGAAACCATTATGTCCATGGGGGAAACCATTTTTGACATCGATTGCCTTCCGTACATTAAAGATACATTATGGGAGATAAGATAAAGAGATGGCAGTTCTCGCTATAATAGTTAAAAACTAGATAGTGTAAAGGTAATTTGCTGAAAATGTCAGTCAAATTGATCCACTATGGGCCGAGAAAGAAGCTGGTGAAATTTTTGCATAGTCTCGGTCATCATTACTAAAATCATTAATATAAACAGCATAGTCTCGATTATCCACTTTTTTTTATTTAATTATCAATGGCCGTTAGCGGCATATAGGAATCTAATCCAGCCAACATCGAAGGCTAGCCTTGACATCGAGAGTTTATTATGGTCTGGATAAGTTAATTAATGTCTAATTGATAATTTAGATAGTATTTCAGGCCTAAAGAAAGACTTGTAATAAGCAGATTTTGCTCTTGCATACTGCATGTTTAATGTCACAAGAAAGTAATGAATACATATTTGAAAAGAGAGATGGGGTTTAACGTCCACTCGACACAAACTAGGTCATTTCGGGACTAACACACGGTTCAACTTTATTTCAATAATAGTTTCCTGTCAAAATCGTACAGAACTGATTTTATTGCCTATCAGTAAAACTAAAACGTAGCGTAGTAAGTACATGCATTTTTGATCTTCTATGCCTTTGCACCATTTATAGCGGAGTGAGAATCATTTATAATATATCTAGTTGTTATGACTTTTAAGTTCCCCTATTCGTTCAGAAATGGTAATGTGATCCGTTTGAAAAGTACCGAAAACCCCCAGAAAATACCGAAAAAAAGTTTTTGGTACTAATTACCGAAAAAATTTGAAAACCCCCAAATATCACCCCCGCACCCCCCACCACACAAAAAATTGTTAGGTGGGTCAGGCTAGACCACGCATAGAAATTATGGGGAACTCTAGATCACGTATGAAAATGGTTGATACTAATTACAGAAAACATTCGAAAAACCCTAAATAAAAAAAAAAATAAAAAAAGTATAGTACAGCCGATTCGTTTTTACATCATGCCTGGCAACTTTTGTGGTATAGTCTAGATATAGTATCCACAGATCCATTTCACAAGTTGATAGTTTAAAAAAAATCGTTGCGAAGATAATTTGAAATGCATTTGCGCAAGCGAATTATTTAAATAAAAGTGAATCGTGTGTATGTTAGTCCCGAAATGACCTAGTTTGGGTCGAGTGGATGTGACCCCGTTTCGCCTCCCCCTCGTTTTTATTAATTGATTATTGGAAGTATGGTTACCTTACAGGATTACAGACAGGAGAATTCCAAAACCAAAACCATTAAAGAACAAACAGATTTCTAGGTCACCTGTTCAAACAAATGGTACGCAGATTCCGATGTCGCCACTTCCGGGAAATCAAGAGACGATTTCGACGCCATCCGGCCTAAGTAAAGATGAAGAAATAATGATGGCGTCTCACTATTTTAAATATCGCCCTACCAACCAAAGAAAACTGTATAGTCTAACATATGACTGTCCTGGTTGCAAGAACCCGTGTAGGACTTTTAGTACGTCACAAGCAATGGACTGCGAAGGCCGCGCTTGTTTAATTGATTGCAGCAGCCCCATCTATAACCACACGGTGCCATCCGATAACACTTACTTAATTAAAACCCAATTATTAGATGCCGAAAAATTAACTCTTCATGATGAGCAAATCACGATTAAAACCAGATTACCAGACATTTCAAAACTTAAACTTGAACTTCTAAATGTTGATGGAGGCTTAAGTGTCGGAGAAATGATAAAACTGAAGTTGGTTATTCACGATGGCTCTGGTAAGGTTTTAAAAAGGGGCGGAGATGATGTTCGTGTCTCGATTGTCCAGAACAAGATGCGAATAGCAGGACGCTTTACGGATTACAACAATGGAACGTATTTAGTAACTGTCCCTGCTTTATGGAATGGTACTAGTACGATTTTTGTTGTGATACCGTATTATCGAGAAGAGACGTCCACTTTATTCAGATGGTTCAGAACTTTCAACTCAATATTTTACCATTATGGCGATTTCTCTAACGGTAAACTTCGACAAAGTACGTTATGTATGGCAGGGCCCAATATAACCGGTTATGGCAAAGTATGTCATTTTTCTGCTGCTCATAACGGTGGACAACCCTGGTTTTGTGGTCATCCGAAGTCTAAACATCTTGGCTGTAAAGATTTCTCTGGAACTGGGGACTACAGATTTACTGACATTGGAGCAACTCATGCCGAAATGAAGTTATTTCGAAGGTATGTAGTTCAAAAAAATGAAATGAAGTGAACTGAGGTTTAACGCCCTACTGTTCTGCTCCGACTGGGCTAATGGAGACGGGCATAGTGTGCTACGAGGAAAATTTTACCGGCCAACTCTTCTATCGAATTCCAACTGCCAAGGGGTCTTTTACGTGCACGCCAATGTGTACACAAGACCTCGGTTTTTCGTTCCATCCATACGACTAGACAGCTGTCCTTATCAGGCCTTCCGTCCTGCACCACATATGCGGGCTATATCATAGAGTCTGTCATTGAGTCAACTGGTTTCGATTCTCCCCAGTTGTACGTGACAAGGAGGAGGGTCGATTGTCCAACCTCGTGGGTTTTCTGCGGGCCCTTCGGTTTCCTCCACTGCTAAAAGACCCTACGCGCAAGCGAATTATTGAAATAAAATTGAACTATATATTAGTCCCGAAATGACCTAGGTTGTGTCGTGTTGACGTTAAACGCCATTTCGCTCTCTGTCTCTGTCCTGCACCACTGACAAGTGGAAACCACGCCTGAAAATCCGATGAAGCGGCTTTCCAACTTAGCCACTGTGGCTCCTAGGTTAAAAAGAGAATGTGTTAGGATGATAACCGTTTTACAGTAGGTGGAGATCTGGGAGTAAAATTAGCCACCATGTGAGTAAGAATTTGGATCGCTAACCAGGAGGACTCGGGTTAGCCGAGAAAGTTCCTCTGAATTTCCCGATGTGCAAGACGTGGGATCTAGTTGTTCGGAAGGTGCGAAAAACCGAGGTGGCGTAGAAGTAAAAGAACTATTGACTATTCGAAATAAGAGTAAGCCGTAAACGCCATATGGCGTGTGCCCGTCTACATTAGCCCAGTGTGTGCAGAACCCTAGGACGTTAAACCCCATTTCAGTTCATTTACTACCCAACCAGGATATGGCATCGGAATTTAAAAGGCCAAGAAAATAGTTACTGTATGATTCCTATGGGCCTCTCTTATATCAGTGAGTAAATTATAATTATAATGCTGACGTCACACTGTCCCGAAATTGACACCAGATGGCCATACCAATATGTAATTCGAAGATGTGAATTTTGTATAGAAGTTTATACGCGTTGGACACACGATGGCGCTGTAGAGTTGCCCAGGACTGACTCAGAAAGATGCTTTATCGGACGTCACAATCTCTTAAAAGTTACTCCAGATAGTCACGCGCTAAAGTAAATTCCGCTCTGATCGTAAAAAAACATCGGGCCGTTCGTGAGGGCACCTTAAGCCATCGTATGACCTCCTGTGAAGTGCTGGCAAAATCTTTGGCATGCCACAAAATTTTCGAAAAATTTTGGGAAGGTTCATTTTCGTGTTGAATTCGTGTGTTCATTTTGCCTTTCATAAGTCCATCGTGAGGGCATTGCGAGGGCTTCACGTAGTCGTATTGCCATCTTAAGTCAATGGGGTAGATTCTTGTGTACGTCATATGCGGTTTCCAAGATACGCCCATATTTTGCAAGAGATGGACAGGGGACAAGCTTAGTTAATAAGCCTTTCATCTTGTTTTGTTTTTTGTTTATCTTTTACTCTTGTTGTTTTGTTATTTAATCTCTGTAAATGGCTCCAACATGCAACTCCTATATATTCATCCTAAGTTTACTAATTAAATGTCATTGTGCTTGATAACGATAAGAGGATACCTGTCGAAACGTCGTGCTTTTAGAATAAATAAATGATTCTTTCCCATTCAAACTGTGTTCTTTTAATGTGTTTCCCAATCGCTAAATGCCACTTAAAGATTACTAAATAAAACAATTTCACGTACAATCAGGGGCCTTAATCCAAGAAGTTGGACCGATATGCGCGAATATTTACAGGTATCCTGATGTTGGGTTATAAACATACATTTCAAGTTCATCAAAATCGGATAAAAATTGTGACCTCAAGAGGGCCCACAACCTTGGTATTACATACTTTTACACGTACAGCGAGTTGCCATTTTGTCCGGCAGTTTCGGTCCGATTGTCACAAAATTCGGACTAAACCGTCATTGTAGTGTAACGGGGATACATTTAAACGTTTATTTTTTTAATCGGATAAAAATTGAGATCTCTAGAGTGACTACACGCTAAAAACACGATTTTTCGTACAATCAGGGGTCATAATCCATGATACATGCCAATATCGAAAGGAACCGAGATCTTTGGGCGATAACACTATATTTCAAGTTTCGTCAAAATCTGATAAAATTGTGATCTGTAGTGTGTCCACAAACAAATTGTGGACGGACTTCCGGACTGACAGGGGCGACGACAATATACGTCCGCATAAAAAATAACCCATGACGTTATGGTCCGATACATGCCAATATCGAAAAGAATCTAGATCTTTGGGAGATAGACCTATATTCCAAGTTTCGTCAAAATCGGATAAAAAATTGTGACCTGTAGAGTGTCCACAAACAAATTGTGGACGGACTTCCAGACGGACAGGGGCGACGACAATATACGTCTGCATGAAAATAATCCATGAAGTTATGGTCCGATACATGCCAATATCGAAAAGAATCGAGATCTTTGGGAGATAGGATAAAAAAAAAATGTGACCTGTAGAGTGTCCACAAACAAATTGTGGACGGGCATCCGGACGGACAGTGGCGACGACAATAAACGTCCGAATGGCACCGATGATCAGACGAAATAAAGACGAAGATGACACGATTTGACAAGATGGCCTCACGATGGCCTCATGTGGGACAAAATGGACACACGAATTTAAAACGAAAATGAAACTTCGCAAGATTTTGCGAAGCTCTAGCAACCCCACAGGTGGTCGTACGATGGCTTTAGATGTCCTCACTAATTGCCCGATAATTTTACGATCAGAGCCAAATTTGAACATTTACTCTATCGTGTGTCCATCTGGTGTCAATTTGGGGACAGTGTGACGCCCGCTTTACAGTTAATCTATACAGTCTTTGTCAAAGTTGTTTTAAACTTGGGTTATTGCCAGGAAATAGGCAACTGTGCATGCAATCTGATTAAAACACAGATCCTATTATAGATCAAAATTTCGTTTTATTACACTGGAATCTGGAAGAGTTGTTATCATTGACGTGTTCTGGGTGATGTGAGAGATTAGCCAATGAAACGGTCTGTTACGGCGAATCCTTGGCCTTTTTATCCACGGAACTGTGGGTAAACCACTAGAAACGTCAACGCTCATTGATTAATCAATGTCTGACGTCATAGGTCAAAAGCCGTTCGTTTGACCCCTGACGTGAACTCCCACTATAACTTGTCAGATCTTCATGTAGTGTAGGCCATCGAAAGTATAAAAAAAACGAAACGAAATATAGATCTGTATTATAATCAGATTGCTGTGAATGAGTAGCATAAGCAATGTGACTAATATGATTTTTTAAAAATGTCTCTTAATAAAATGTGAGTTTCTATTTTAAGAAAATGTACTAATATTGGTCGTACTAGAGAGGTGAAAGTCAATGTTAAAGGTGAGTGCTTTTTCGTAGCCAGCTATAATACGAAATGAAATGAAATGGGGTTTAAAGTTCTACTGTTCTGCTCCGACCGGACTAATGAAGACGGGCATACGCCATAAAATGTGCTATGAGGGAAATTTTGCCCGGACCTACTCTTATATCGAATTCCAACTGTCAAGGGATCTTTTACGTGCACGCCAACGTGTACACGGGTTCTCGGTTTTTCGTCCCACCCGAACGACTAGACAACTGTCCTTGTCAGGCCCTCCATCCTTCATCGAACTGTAACTTCCTGGATTACGGCCCCTGAATTACGGAAAATCACGTTTTGAGCTTGTGGACCCTCTAGAGGTCACAATTACATGTGTATTATCCAATTTTAAAAAACCTTTAAATGTATCATCGGTACACCCGAATGACTATTGAGTGCCAATTTCGTAAAATTCGGACCATAACTACCTGACAAAATGGTGGCCTCTTTTACGCAAATAGTGTAAAAGTATGTCATACCAAGGTCGTGGGCCCTCTAGAAGTCACAATTGTTATGTGATTTTGATGAAACTTATAATATATGTTTATGTCCCAACGATCTTGGTTACTGTCGCTATTTACGCATATCAGACCGCTACTTCCTGTATTACGACCCCTGTGGATTCTCTAGATGTCACCAATTTTTACCCGATTATATAAACCGTTTAAATATATCACTATTCCACTATAATGAAGCGGAAAATCGAAACGAACTGTCCCGCCAAATGGTCGCTCTTTGTAAGCAAAGTGTGTAAAGGTATGTAATACGAATGTTGTGGACTCTCTAGAGGTCACAATTTTTATCCGATTTTGAAGAAACTTAAAATATATCTTGATATCCCAACGACCTCAGACTCGGTCGATATTTGCTAATTTCAGACCATAACTTTCTGGATTATGACCCCTGATTGTACGAAAAATCGCGTTTGTTTTTAGCTTGTTCTCTATCCATCTGTGACACTATCCTGTGTCACTGTGTCAAATAAAAACGGCTGTAACACTACGGGGTAGATGTGATACATTAGTTTAGGACTTTCTTCGACTTCACGTTGTGGGATCAATTATTCCAATCATCAATTAACTGGCCCTGGAACACCGTTTATGTTGTTACTAAGTATATATATCAAATACAGCAAACTACGAAGGTTAAATACAGCAAAACTACAACATCTATTATAGAAACTTTAGGAGTTATAAAAATATCCACGGTCTGAGTTTAGCATCCTTTACAACTCAGACCTAACAGTTTAAATACTACATTGTGTCTCTATCCCAACCTCTCAGCCGAGGCGGTCGTGGGTATTATGTTCCCATCCCGGACTCACGGATTGTGTCTTCCCTATGGTCTCATCATGATATTTGAGGGTAAATCAAACCAGCTCTCTGCTATATAGCAATTATAATGCGTCATCTATTAGTGCGGGATAATTATCATTTTTGGGTAAGTGTTTCGTATAGGCACCGTTTTACGTCAACACTATTCTAGTTAATTGTACTAAACCGTGCACGAGATGACTGGACTATAGTACCCTACTTCCAGCAATGGATACTGACATAACTGTCGGTAAGTAAGTCTAAGATAGTAGTAAAATAATGCAAGTCACTTCATTACCCTAGTTTTCGTCACACATCATGTAGGTAAAGAATTTCTATATTAAACAGAACACCTATCTTAGAACTAAAATAAATCCTATAGCATTACACATCTCTTGCAAAATGTGGGCGTATCTTGCCTGGCAACCGCTGCGGTTATTAATACAGAGGCCAGTGTAGTAACACAGCTATCGCCTAATTCCAAATATTCGCGTTTAATGTAATGAAGCGTCGTTTTTATCCGACTTGAAAACGCCATTGATGTCCATTGTACACGCCTGTTTTCATTCGAAAAACCTCGATTATTTATAACAGAATTGTTATAAATAACAATAATCAATAATTGTTTTGATGAAAAATGTTGTCAACTGAATGAAGCCCGATGTATTTCACGTCGGGTTTTGCCAGATAAAACTATATAGCACCATCTCTTATCTCGAAACACGGAGGGCTGAGAGATGAGGTTTCTTATCTAGGGAACGGAGAATACAAAAAGAATATTGAAGTTATGCCTGTTTTAACAAGAGAGAGCGTAAATAGTGTCGATTGTCAAGAACGATTGCAACGATAGTATATATTAAATCTCGAGTTTCCATTTTAACGTTTAAGGAAGATATGGCAGGCCGTGTCTAATTCACTTAATATCTCTGTCAGTCGATGGTCTAGAGAGTTGATTATGGGTTTGTTACGTGCATAGATGTCTGAATAATAATTTACTAGTATATAATTTATATATTTATATGAATTGGAAGCCAGAATGAATTCCTATAATAGGCAAATATAGGTCCTTCATACTGCATCTTTAAACAGAATTATTGATTTAAGGATGCTGTCGTCTTTCAGGAAAAGAAATCATAAAAACTACACTCACACTGTGTAAAGACATAGAACCTGTCAAGACATGGGATTTATCAAGTCCGACTGGTTATTTTAATACAGAATCGAATTATGTATCGACTCAGTGCAAGATGCGGGCCTTAACGACTGATCAGACAAGAACATGTATAAAAAATACAATTATCTATCTCAGTGGGGATTCAACAACTCTTCAGTGGTATAAAGCCTTGCGACAATTTTCGAACTGTAAACAGATCAACGCATCTTTTGTCACCGGAAAATGGTACGAAAAGGTTACATGTGTCGTGAAGGGATGGAATTTTACCTTAAAATGGGTACCGCATGCCATGCCCTTTAGCTTCTTTGACGTTAATAAATCGGAAATAAATGAAACTTCCGATCGTTCCTTAACAGATGTGTTGAATGGTATCCCGGACAAGGGACGCTATATATTTATACTGCATATTTTCGCCCATTACACTAGAGTACGTTATCATATTTTTCGAGACAAAGTTCGAGCCATGTTGCCTGCTTTAAGAGAAGCTTTAAAAAGAAACAAAGAGCTTCAAGTGGTTGTCAAATCACCCCATATTTATTATTGTGAAAAGTGGGTACCGTGTGTGAATGATTTCATGGGTCGTCATCTGATTACCATATTGCATCAGGAGATGAAGGAGTTTATACATCAAATCAAGTATTTGGACTATTGGGATATGTCTGTGTCTACAGCGAATGCTAATTTGCACGCAGGCGGTGATTTTATTTGGAAGATGATACAATTAATGATCGACCACACTTGTAAAATCCAATTTTGACACGCAAGTCGCATTAAAAACTTGGGGAGATGTTTATAATTCCAAATACATATTTTTATTTATTACATATATATTTATATTCCACATATATCTACATTTCACATATATCTACATTTCACATATATCTATATTTCACATATATCTATATGGAATAGCAAAATCGTGGTAGGTCCATATATTTTATTACTTGGGTAAACCTATCACGAGCGTAGGAACCATTTTATTATTGGAGGGTCATTAATAAATTGTATTAACATAGTTTTTCAAACTCATGAACCGCCACGGGCGGAGGGCCAAGATATTATTAATATGCCTAATAGAGATAAACATGTAGTGGTGAATGAGAATTTAGTTTGTTGTTTGCGGTTTAAAGTCCACTACTACCGCGCAGGTCCCGTGAAATGGGGGTAAGGGGGCTGCTCTGACAATTTTCCAGGGGCCTGGAGGTATGCCAAATAATGTTTCTGTTTAAAAAATTACTGGTAAATTAATAAAAAAAATACACGGTTACTTGATAGTAAAGCAGAAGGAAACCGATGACTTTTCTGAAAGTGGGTACCAAGTGGCGTGGGTAGGATTAGAATCGGATTCTGTCAGTCCATATTGTTTGGAAAGATTGGTGAATCACAAACTACAGGCCACCGGCCCGACGGCCCATCCTCTTTCCGTTCGGGTATCTTGTCACAGTCAGGCTTCGGTGTATCCTCCGGGCCACGGTATATAGGTAATCGGGGCCTCGCCTGGGCCTGTGTGTCAAATCTCATTGTTTTAGTGACCCTCAATTACCCCAAATATATGCTACAGACCATACATCTTTCATAAATTTTCGAGCCCGGGGGAAAAGAACCTCCTCGGTTCAGTGCATATCCATTCCTGTGGGAGGAAACCGGAGTTCCCGGCGTAAACCCACTAAGTTGAGAAGGAGCCCCTATCACCAAGCTACAAACGCTACACCACTAGGCCATCCCAACTCCCTTCTTTATATACCACATATGGGAGAGCCACGGTGGCTAGTTGGTTAAGACGCTGGCTAGCTAGCTTGGAGGTCGGGTGTTCGATCCCTGCACTGGCGGAGAGAGTCCATCCAGATTTTCCGACGTGGTTCCCCCTTGTCAGTGGTGCAGAACGGAGGGCCTGACAAGGACAGCTGTCTAGTCCTTCGGATGAGACGAAAAACCGTGGTCCCGTGTATATATTGGAATGCACGTAAAATATACCCAGGCAGTTGAAATTCGATATAAAAGTAGCCGATAGTGCCGCTGGCCGGGCAAAATTTCCCTCATAGCACACTGTATGGCGTATGCCCGTTTTCATAAGCCCAGTATAGGAACAGAACAGTAGGACGTTAAACCCCATTTCATTTCATTTCATATACCACATTTTATAGAGTGCGGCGCGAATTCCAGAAAGCGGCGCTACGGCCTACTCTTATTTAGAATTCCAACGGCCAAGGGATCTTTTACGTGCACGCCAATGCGTACATGGGAACCCGTCTGTTCGTCCCATGCGAACGACTATACGTTGTCCCTGTACCACTAACATGGGGGAACCGCTCCGGAAAATATCGATGAACTTTCTCAACCAACACCGGGATCAAAAACGTCTTACTCACTGAGCCACCGTGGCTCCTAGACCTCAAAGCATACACGCCAAACCACTAGGCCATCTTACCTCCACTCCTTACGTTCCAGTGACGTCACATTCATTCAACAAATGATTACAATAAGAGATGCCTATATATGATGTTTACCCTTTAAATAGGGATTATCTAATATATATTAAAGATACATTATGGGAGATTAGACAAAGAGCCGGCAGTTCCCACTATAATATTTAAAAACTAGATAATGTAAAGGAAATTTGCTGAAAATTTAAGTCAAATTGATTCACTCTAAACCGAGATTTTAGCGATTGAATATTGGGGCTAGCCTCGATCATCATTACTAAAGTCGGTAGGCTAAAAACATTGTCTCGATTATCCAATTTTTGATTTAATTATGAATGGAAGTCGAACAGCAAATCGGAACCTAATCCAATAAACATCGCAGGCTAGCGATATGCCATCGAGAGTGGTTTATGGCCTGGATAAGTTAATTTATGTCTAATTAATAATTTGGATAACATTTCAGGCCTAAAGAAAGATCTATAATAGCCAGATTTAGCTCTTGCATAATGTATGTTTAAAACAAAAGAAACCTGTAGTATGTTTAGTCATGTTTTATATCTCTAAAGTCATGTCTTATCATCGTTCATGCAAACTCTATTCATTAATTAAACTGATAGCTGACTCCATTAAAGAGCCGTGGAGTTGAGAAATAAATATGGCGAAGGGTTTTACGTCGTACTTTTCTAAACCGAATAGGTCGTGAAGTTGAGAAATAAATATGGGGTTTAATGTCGCACGTTTCTAAACCGAATGGGCTGATGAAGACCGCAGGCGCCTGTAACGTGGAAATATTTCAAAAGTAACATTAGGCTTATTAAGTTAAGTGTAATGTCTAAAGTCTGTTACGACCATGTGGTCTAAATCCGATTTCTAATTCAAAGGCAAATAACTGGCCTGAAACCGATTCTCTTTCAGTCGAATATAATAATACCAAGGTGAGAAACGGCTGGAATTAAATAATTGGGGTCAAAGTTCACTACTCTAGATTCCGTCAACCAGTGGCAATACTCAATTTCGCTAGTTACACAATCGAGTCTAGGATGACGTTTTAAAATTATCCAAGTCACCCTCTTTAAGTCGCGCCGACAATAATTTAAACGTCTTCGTAGACTCGATGTTTTTTACCTAGTAAAGAGAGAGAGAGAGAGAGAGGGAGAGAGAGCGCGAGAAATGGGGTTTAACGTCCACTCGACACAAACTAGGTCATTTCGGGACTAACATATGGTTTAATTTTATTTCAATAATTCGCTTGCGCGTAGGGGTCTTTAGCAGTGGGAGGAAACCGGAGCACCCGGAGAAAACCCACGAGGTTGGACAGGCGACCCTACTCCTTGTCACGTACAACCGGGGATTGGAAACCACGCCAATTGACTCAATGACAGGCCTTATGATACAGCACGCACGTGCTAACCATTCGACCATCCAACCCCCCCTTACCTAGTAAAGAGGGTACTCTTTAAAAGTAGAGAGAGAGAAATGGGGTTTAACGTCCAATCGACACAAACTAGGTCATTTCGGGACTATGGCTTCGACCCTTAGCTTGTATATGATAAGGAGAAGGGGTTGTGACAAAGGATCTAACCCATGTGCTTTAGATCATAAGATCTGGTATATGGGGAAAAGAGACGACGTTTCGATTAGATTCGATTCCTAACTTGTACGTGACACGGAGTATGGTCGTCTGTCTTAACTCGTGGGTTTTCTCCCGGTCCTTCGGTTTGACCCCACTGCTTAAGACAACTATGGGTCATTCCATGTCAAGTCGGTCAATTTTCAGAAACTTGGGTAATCGACCCTCTCGGAAAGATCTGAAAAAATATATGTTATTGTACATTCAAAAACTACAAACTGCAAAATTTGTGGTCTGTAGCTTAAAAATTGGCTGAATGGACGTTAACCCCTTCTCTACCTGTCTCGGTTTCTCTCTCTCTCTTTCTCTCTCTCCCTTGCTCTCTCTCTCTCTCTCTAATTGTTATTATGTGAATTAACCCCTTCTCTACCTGTCTTGGTCTCTCTCTCTCTCTCTCTCTCTCTCTCTCGACAACATGTCTCTTTAACTTATAACGCCACTGTCGTGAATGACGGATGTTGACATGATTATCGTATCAACGAGTACCGAGAAAGAGATGATATCATTCCATTCACAACAGGACATATACTTTTACTGTAGGACAGCTGGGATCCTTATATCGGCTATGTTATGTTTCTTACCGAAAATATCAAAATACAGGGGAAATTTATGTGAAACCATAGACGAAAACTTCGTCGTAAATAACATATGTGAATGATACCAACGTGTTTGTAGAAAGAGCCACGCTTATAGCGGAAGTATTTATTGAAGACCTTATGATATGTACAACGTTTTGTAGAAAGAATCAACCGTGAAAAGACAGTGTAAAAAACTTCGACGTAAAGAACGCGTGAATGAATCAACGTATTAAAGAAAAATAATTTCAAAATTAGGTAAGAATTTCGTCTTCAATAATCAATAAATAGATGTTATGTTTTCAGGGCCGAATTAAAACCTTTAAATGCATTAAGCATTGAAAATGTTATGGTGCCTCCAAAAGACCATAAGTCAATACCACTAGACTCCTATTTAGTCAAATAAATTAAAAAAGTGAGTGGCATATTGATAATAACATAGATATTCTGTATAGCCTACTATAGATTGTAATGTAGTTTGACTGTTTGAACTTGACTCCCGTGCCCACACTTTCCCCGCCCACAATGATTGCACACATGTTGTGCCCGAATAAATAAACTGTTTATTTTTCGAAAAGCCACAGAACTTACATGTAAGCTGAAGTCAAAATAGCTTTTATCACTCGCGTCCCTGTGAAACATTAAATATTACTGAAGAATGGACTCTTACATAATTGTATACAATTCGCCCAACCTTAAAATAACTTACTTGAGAATAGATTCAAGTTAGGTTTATTGTGCACCAGTAGAAATATTTGTTGACAATAACAATGTTAACATTTAGCGGAATATTGTTGGTTTGTCATGGTATTGAAACATTAGTAGAAATACTTGTTGACAATATCATTAAAACCGGTCGTGAATATTGTATAGATGAATGTAGGGTTAGATCCATTTCATAAGGCCACCTGCATATTTCCTCAAGGCCACGAGATGTAAACAGGGCTAGTGCGAACCCTAATCCAAGACCTAGCTCTAAGCCTTACCCTAACCCAACCCACATTCCTTGGCAACAGTCACGTGCACTAACCGTCTTTACGTCTCGTGACCTTGGGGAAATCTGCAAATGACCTTTTGAAATAGATTTGACCGTAAAAGTACACAGTCTGTGTCCGGTTTATGGTTGTTTTTTTTTTCTAAACCCGTTAACTATTTTTTTCAGAGACCAGATTTGTTGAAGGATTGTTTAGGTGTGATGACTAGACTTGACTTGGTTAACTTATCAACATAACTGAGTTTAGATAACTGGCCATGTGACGTCACAGACAAGTACAGGTTGCGTAACAGGTATGTGTAATAGTCTAGTATCGTAACCTATATATAAAACATATCAAATGAAATGGGGTTTTAACGTCATACTTCTCTGCACTAATGAGAGACGATGACGTTTCCACCTAATCTTCATCAAATTCCAACTGTCAAGGGTTCTTTTGTGCACGCCAACTGATAAGGGGAAACCCGACTTGAAACTTCTCGCCCGACACCGGGATCGAACCGGGATCAAACCGGGATCGAACATACCTACATATTGAGTCACTGTGGCTTCCAAAACTATATAATTAAGACTGACCAGCTACGATAGTTCAGGAGAGCTTGTCTTTCATTCGATTTCTTGGTTTCTTAAAGATGCGTCATTATAATATATAAAACGTAAATATTGGACAATTTGGGGTTATATTTGAAATTATTAAAGATACATTATGTAAGATTCAGATAAAGAACTAGCCATTCTTGCTATAATAGTTCGAAAGTAGATGATGTAAAATGAATAATTTGAAAATTTCATTCAAATTACTCTATTGCAAGCGAAGATATTAGCCTTTGAAGGTTTGACAGACGTGTGCAATAATTTCAACCACCGTACTGGTTGATCGAAGCTAAGTCTCGGTCCTCCATATTTGATTATTAAATCAAAGTATCGCTGAACCATTTTAATCTATTTAATATCGGAGAAATCTGATGCCATCGAGAGTTGATTAAGGCCTGGATCAGTTAATAAATGTCTAATTAATACTTTAGAAAACATTTCAGGCCTAAAGAAAGACCCGCAATAGGCAGATTTAGCTCTTGCATAATGCATGTTTAAGTAAAGATTTAGAAATGTTTTTTGAAAGGCAAATACCAAGCTCGCTTCTCCATTTTAAAAAGTAATCATTTTATAGTCGAGGCGTTCTGTAAGATTATGGGCTTGTCATGTTAATAATTAATAATTATTAAGCTAACATTTGAAGCCAAAATAAAGACCTGGCATAGGCAGAGCTAAATATGCCTATTAAAGGTCTTTCTTTGGGCCTGAAATGTTATCTAAATTATTAATTAGACTTTAATTAACTTATCCAGACTATAATCAACTCTCCATGTCAACGATAGCCTGCAATGTTTACTGGATTAGAATCCCATTTGCTGCTCCAATTTCATTCTTGATTTAATCATGAAATGGATAATCGAGGCTATGTTTTTATCGCACCGACTTTAGTAATGATGATCGAGGCTAGGCCGAAAATTCAATCGCTAAAATCTTGGTTCAAAGTGGATCAATTTGAGTGAAATTTTCAGCAACACCCCTTTATATTATCTAGTTTTTATCTATTATAGTGAGAACTGCCAGCTCTTTATCTAATCTCCCATAATGTTTCTTTAAATAACAATATTCATAAGGTCAGAAATCATCTTTATGCGGAGCCACGTTAGTTTGTTAACCAGGACGTCCGGGGTTTTGTTTATGCGTTTTGTATTTTACGTCAGTGGTATAAGTTGGAAATTTCCATTTTTATGAATAGCAAATGAATTGAAATGAAACGAAATGAAATGGGGTTTAACGTCATACTGTTCTGCTCCGAGCTGGGCTAATGAAGACGGGCATACGCCATACAGTGTGCTATGAGGGAAATTTTGCACGGACAGCAGCACTACGGCCTACTCTTATATCGAATTTCAACTGTCGGGGGATCTTTTACGAGCATTCTAATATATACACGGGACCTCAGTTTTTCATCCCATTCGAACGACTAGACAGCTGTCCTTGTCAGACCCTCCGTCCTGCATCACTGACAAGGTGGAATCACGCCGGAAAATCTGGATGAATTTATGAATAGCCAGCCTTTGTATTTATACATTCAAGCAAAAACCTAACCATAGTACAGTTCTTATGTTATAGATTACAAATTCTTCTCTAACCGCAACATGGATTACAAAACTTAGTAATGTTATCAAATGAACACGAGCCAGCAAGACTTGGCCAGTTGTCTTCTTTATCTTACGAATTTGTTTATGTTTACTTTTTACACAATCTGATTAAAAGACAGATCTACATTATTTCGTTTCGGGGGTGGAGGGGGTGGTGGTGGCCGAATGGTTAGCACGTGCGCGCAGTATCATACGATATGTCATTGAGTCAACTGGCGTGGTTTCGAATCCCCAATTGTACGTGACAAGGAGTAGGATCGCCTGTCCAACCCCTTGGGTTTTCTCCGGGTCCTCCGGTTTCCTCCCAGTGCTAAAGACTCCTAGGCGCAAGCGAATTATTGAAATAAAATTAAACTATGTGTTAATCCCGAAATGACCTAGTTTGTGTCGAGTGGGCGTTAAACCCCATTTCTCTCTCTATGTATTTGGTTTCGTTTTCTTTGTACTTTGTACACAACATGCAGATCTGACCGGTTATAAAGATAGGTCGCGTCAGCGGTCATACCAGCCATTTTTGATTTTGACCCTATGACGTCAGATCTTGATTAATCAACCAGCGTTAACGTTTCTAGTGGTTTACCCACAGTTCCTGTACAGTACGCCAAGAAATCGCCGTAACAGACCGCTTCATTGGCTAATCCCTAACATTAACCAGAACGCGGCTTATATAACCACTCTTCCAGATCCTTGTGTAGTGAAGACAAGTAAAACGAAATTTTGAAGTATAAAACGAAACGAAATAGGATCTATTTTTAATCAGATTGCTATTTACATGATATTACTTCAGATATAATGAATGCGTGGTTTCGATTCACCGGTTGTACGTGTCAAGTAGTAGGGTCGCCTGTCCAACCTTGTGGGTTTTCTCTGGGTCCTCCGGTTTCCTCCCACTGCTAAAGATCCCTATGCGCAAGCGAATCACGGAGGACCTGGCAAGAGACAACGTATAGTCGTTAGGATAGAACGAAAAAGGGAGGTCCCCGTGTAAACATTGGCGGGAACGTAAAAGAACCCCTGCTATTTGGAATTAGATTTTAAAGTAGGTCATAGTGCAGCTGTCGGGGCAAAATTGCCATCACTGCCATCTCTCTCTCTCTCTCTCTCTCTCTCTCTCTTGCTCTCTCTCTCTCTCTCTCTCTCTCTCTTATTAACATTACAAGCCTATAATGAATTCTCTAGACTATCGGATGATGGGGATTTAAACAGATTGAAATACGATCGCCATTTAATGATTTAATTTAAAAATGGAGAAGTGGGAGATTAACCTCGCTGAGAATAAAGTAATTTGAAAGAAATTTTCAATATAGTAATTTTGAATTATCTATTTACGAAATATTATAGCAAAACGGCCAACCCTTTATCTAAATCTTACATAATGTATCTTTAACCTATTCGATTGCAAAAACAAAAGTTCTTCCTTTTGCCTAACATAAAAATCTCCGCATTTAATATAATTGTTTTCAATTTTAACACGTACTAAAAGGGTCCCGTCGTCGTTCGCCTTGGTGTTACTAATTTGTCTATATTTAGTATACCAGATGACATTACGTAATATATATAATACGCTTGTTGGTACAATTAATATCCACTAGATGTTACCATAACCCCTTAGATTGTTTAAAGGGTCTATTGACTATACCGTATTTAAAGGGTTAATGTTTGTAAATTTATCTAGAAACTCAATTTATAAAGTATGTTTGATTTAGTTGCGAGTGAACTTTTGACCAGATAATAAGGTTTTGTTTACATACCACATGGGATATAGTAACCAGTATTACTTATTCTGCCTCCACGAGGTGAGAACAGTAAGTACATGATTGTTAAATTATTTCAGATGATCACTTCTTGAGAGAGAGAGAGAGAGAGAGAGAGAGAGGGTTTTACGTCCACTCGACTTAAATTAGGTCATTTCGTGACTAACACATGGTTCAATTTTATTTCAATAATTCCCTTGCGCGTAGGGACCTTTAGCAATGGGAGGAAACCGGTACAACCGGGGCATCGAAACCACGCCAGTTGACTCAATGACAGACCTTATGATACAGCGCGCACGTGCTAAAATTCGGTAATTCCCCCCCATCACTTCTTGGGTTGAGCTCTTGATCAGATATGGACAGACGGCCGATTACATAGATTTTGACGGCGTTTATTTAGTTGCCTGGCAACCACTTTAATATCCTTTGATTATATAGCAGAATTAAAATTGACACGTGAAGTTGTAATGACGTGTTTCTTTTACACACTACTTTTTTTGAATTTGTCATATTTCGAAGAACGTGAAAAGAGTCACGAGTAACTCGGTAAATTGTCATGAATGCCTGAATTATTTTTTTATAGCCGTTGATTGTATACCCTGCGGCATATTTATAAATAACGACGTGTTACCGTAAATGGGTAAATTTAATTTTAAGCAAAACCCCACATATTTTAATGGGGGGTTGGATGGCCGAATATTTAGCACGTGCGCGCTGTATCATAAGGCCTGTCATTGAGTCAACTGGCGTGGTTTCGAATCCGCAGTTGTACGTGACAAGGAGTAGGGTCGCCTGTCCAACCTCGTGGGTTTTCTCCGGGTCCTCCGGTTTCCTCCCACTTCTAAAGATCCCTAAAGCACAGGCGAATTATTGAAATAAAATTAAACCATGTGTTAGTCCCGAAATGACCTAGTTTGTGTCGAGTGGACGTTAAACCCAATCTCTCTCTCTCTCTCTCTCTCTCTCTCTCTCTCTCTCTCTCACACACACATATTTTTAATAATAATGTATGTTGTTTTTTTATATTTAATAGATAGGAGAAACTTGAAATAATATGAAGAAAATTACAAAGTGCCTGGATGATATATTAACCTCATAATTGTCATGGATATGAGCGAAAAAAATGAATGACGTCATCATATCGACTTCAGTTGTTTATTTAATACTTTGGTGTAATATTATAGTGTTTGGTTGCCCTGACAACTGTGATTGTTCACAGACAGGTCATAGTGGACGAATTCTTGTTAATTGTACAGATAAAAAATTAACTACATTCCCAACTAGTCTTCCCAACGATACAGAACAAATAGTTTTTGTTAATAACCCGGATCTGGCTTGGCCTTCACGTGTGATTAATGATTCATCATGGAGTATTGTGACGTCAATGGTTTTTGAAAACAATCGTCCATTGAGGAACTTGACAATCGAGAATATATCTTGGTTAACCAGACTGAAATCGCTCACTATTCGCAGATCTCAATTAGTGTGGATAGAGGATTCTTTATTTGGATCGTTACCCAATCTGGAACATATCGACTTAAGTATTAATCCAGGATTAGAATATGACGTCATTTTTGGCGCTTTTAATAGTTCAAACATGTATCTAGAAAACCTGAACATAAGTATGTGCAATAATTTACCGAAACAAACAATATTACAACAAAAGCACCTGCAAAAACTGTCTCGAACGCCTATAAAGGTTCTAGACATGACAGCAACCAACCTTTTTGACATCACTAAACCGGGACTAAGTTATTTTCTACCCGAAATAGAGGTGCTAAATATTTCCCACAATCACTTGAAGATTGAATATCGAATATTATGCGACATTGCCAACTTGAAGAAGTTAGAAATTTTCGACATTAGTTTCTGGAACACGCCGGATTTATTCTACAGGGTTGAAAGGTCAGCGGAAGTGACGTCTAGCAATGTTAGCGGTGTGGATTTAAAAAATAAGCGGTGTGGATTAAAATGTTTTCCGCTGGCGGAGTCTCTTCGTCTTTTCTACTTTCACCATATCCGATGGTCGTCGGCCGATTCGCCCTCTATTTCAAAATGTATAAGTAAAAACAGTATGACGAAAGTCTGGCTGAATAACAATAATTATCGGATATTTAACGGGAGTATCCGAGGTGGGGACCAGTTATTGTTGATGGATATGTCTCAGAATAACATCGAGTATTACTCACCAGAAATGTCCTTTTACGAACCGCTCCTGCAAGTATTGGATTTAAGTGACAACCAGCTACACAAAACCGAGGATGATCCCACTTTTACTGATTTGGTCCATACGAATAAATATATGCAGTATGTGGATTTATCAAACAATAGCCTCTCCACGCTTCCGTACAACATCTTCAGTCACAGCCAACAATTCGTATTTGTTAATCTGTCTCAAAATTTACTCTGTAGCAAATTAAATTTAAACATTACGTCTCCTTGGTTGCGATTAGTGGATCTTTCTCACAATAAAATATCGTATTTAAACGAAGAGTTACGAACTACTTTCGACAAAGTTGCGTCCTCCGCTTCAAGTGCTAGACCACCGCGGAGATTTAATGTCTCCGACGAAATTCCCCCAGTTGATTGGTCAACTTTAACCCTTGACCTATCTGATAATCCGTTCCAGTGTGCCTGTGCTTTCGTCGATTTCTTGCTCTGGATGAAAAATACTCAAGTGACTTTGCATAATGTCGAAAATTACGAGTGTGAGTTCAAGGGGAAAATGACGAGAATATCCGAATTGAGTGTTAGTGACATCCGACGATTATGTGACATGGAACTCAATAATGTGCTATTCGCTGTTCTTGTTGTGCCGTTTGTTATTATCATTTTAGCCGTTTCATATTTTATCGTCAGAAAATTTCGAAGATCAAAAGTCAGCCAAATAGTTTGCCAATACAAAAGCAGTGAACAACCCAAATACGTTGCCTTTGTGTGTTATAGCCACCACGACAGTGAATTTGTCTTAAGTGATCTGAGACCGGAGTTGGAAGGCCGACTAGCCAAAGATTTATCACGGTCCGACGGGCTTTTATGCATCAACGATCGCGATTTTTGCATCGGAGAACCGATCGAAGATGCAATCGTTCGAAGTGTTCTTGCTAGTTCAATGGTCATTTTGATTGTCTCTGAAAAGTTTTTGGACAGCCAATGGTGTAAATTTGAAACCAATGTTGCCTGGACAGAGAAAAAACCCATCCTCATGATATTTAGACAAAAAATAGAAACGGACAGACTTCCACATTTGTTGAAGAATATATACAACAAGCACGTGCGTTTATTGTGGCTAGGTGAAAGGTCAAATTTGATTGACACGCTTTATAAGTCTATGATAAATCAACTTTAAATATCATTTTATTATTTTAAATATTCTTCAAATTCAAAATTTAATTTCAAAATGAATCTGAATCAAGCTAATAATTTCTTCTGAATGCTCTACGACGCGATTCCTAACCGTGCCCGTTTACGGTATTACTACTACTAGCTGTGGTTACCATTCGCTTCGCGAGGACACTGTGGCTAATTGGGCAAGACGCTGGCTCGCTAGCCTGGAGGTCGGGTGTTCGTTCAGTGCATTTGCCGAGAAAGTTCATCCAGATTTTCCGGCGTAGTTCCCCCTTGTCAGTGATGCAGGACGGAGGGCCTGACAAGGGCAGCTGTCTAGTCGTTCGGATGGTACATTGGCGTACAGATAGATCCCTTCACAGTTGGAATTCGATATTTGAGTAGGCCGTATTGCCGCTATCCGGGCAATATTTCCCTCATAGTACACTGTATGGCGTATGCCGGTCTTCATTTTCCCAGTTCCGAGCAGAACAGTAGGACGACAAATCCCATTTCATTTCATTTCATACCATCCGATTCGACAGTAAATTATTAAAAATGCAATAACGTCCCCCTGTTTTGCACAATTCACGCTAATCAAATATTGTTAAAATTCAAACTTAAGATAGTAATATCTTCTGAGGGCTCTTCGATTCGACCAACCTTATTTACGTGTATACCGGATCTCGGTTTCTGGCTAAGCCCCCCCCCCCCCCCGCCGTTAAGTGATGGTTAGTGAGTCAGCGCCCGGCAAACAGTAAAAATAGATGCACAAAGGGAGACAAATCCATATTTTAAAAATAGCATATGGATGCAGACCACCAAATATTTTCATTGTGTGAATGTTAACCTTATCCCTTTGTCCGGCGCCAACTGTTTACGATATTGTTGTTGGTCTGAACGCTATCCACACAACATATGACAACGCCTGTCTCCAAAACCAAAATTTAGACAACGTTAAGTTATCAGAACGTGGAAATGAATTTGTGTAACAGAACAATAAATGAATAACACAAACTGTATCATAGATCTTGTACAGTGATGGATAGCTTGGGTTGATTGACAATCAGATTTTGCAAACATGCTGTTTTTACCTGAATAATCAAGGACTATTTAGTGTTGTGTACATGTGTAGTGTTTTCTGACTACTCGAATTTGATAAAAACGCGTTTATTCAGAACACAGTTTATATATAAAACCATCACTTGTTTATACACATAATATAGGACGGCGTTTCCACAAATGTTCACTTATTACTTTTAAATAGCAAAGAGTAATGAATATTAGATAAAACCCTCAAAGTTTTGAATATTCACTAAAACCTGACAGAAAATGTAGTTTCAAACCCTTCGATTCTACACCAAAAAGTCAACATAAATCGCCATCCAAATGAGGGAAAAGGGGAAAGGGAGAGAAAGACTAAAAATAACTTTCGCCTTTCATTGGTGGTAACCAGCGTAGGAATAAATTGTGAGCTGGGTCTATATGAACTAAGACTAGTAATTATTTCCCCTTATTTCATGATGGACTTGTAAATAGACAATTTTTCCCTTAATTTTTTTCTCCCCTCTTCCTGCATTTTTGGGTTGACTTTTTGGTCTAGAATAGGAGAAAAGGGATCAAATTTGTAATTTTATAGCAGTTTTGGGTAACACTGATGATATTACAGCGGAGGGATAGGGGGTGTAAAATGTCTTTCTGCCGAGCAATCATTGTATCGGAAGTGAGATTTTCACCCCAGTCAACTTCAAATCCCCGTAGCAAAAAATCTAAACGGTCAACCCCCTACAAGTTTATGATGAGGAGATTGCCAAATGTGGTCCCCATTGTGCCTATAAAGATTGGAACCAACGGAATGTTGAGCAAAAAGCTACAGCCTGTGATGTTACAGCCATTTAACATTGAAGTCAATGGGCAAATAATTACTAGTCTGAGCCCTGTATGTACAAAGTTTTTTGGGCCGTTTTCGAGTTATTCCCCCTGTATTTATGCAAAATGTGATATATGTACAAAGTTTGTTTTAGCCTCGTTCATCAAGGCACCTCGTTATCAATCGCGCTAAAGAACATAGAGTACACACCGACGTCTACTGGTTTTAATCTTGTTCACTGGCAGGATACACGACTTCGCCCGGGTGCCCAAATCACGAAGCGTGGTGATTCTCCCGGGAACCACACCCAATTTGCCCGTGTCCGTCCCAAATTCGATGGCCTAAAACAGCCACAGGATCATGCTGGTTAATTTGATACACCATATGTTGGGATGCATCTCGGCGACGAAGCGTGAAGGGTGAACAGACACTCAGAAATCTACATCCATTAATCTTTGGGAACCGCGGTGGCTCACTGTGTAGGATGTTGGCTCGCCAGCCTGGAGATCACTTAGCCACGACGGCCCTTATCATATAACAGTGCGTCCCGTTGGAATTCGATATAATCATAGGCCCTTCCTCTTTAGCCTAACCTGAGCAGAACAGTCGGACGTTGTACCCCATTTTATTTATATACTAGCAGGATACCCGGCTTCGCTCGGGGATCATAACTCCGAAACTGGAAGACTAACGCCACCTGGCCTATGTTACTCCCCGGTCCGAGCTACCCCTATACCCCAAATTTCAGACTCGGGGCAGACCTAGTGTAGCCGCCAACCCCGAACAGACCGACTTCGCTCGGGGGTCATAACTCCGAAACCGGAAGTGGTAGACTAACGCCACCTGGCCTATGTTACTCCCCGGTCCGAGCTACCCCTATACCCCAAATTTCAGACTCGGGACAAACCTAGTGTAGCCGCCAACCCCGAACAGACAGACTTCGCTCGGGGGTCATAACTCCGAAACAGGAAGTGGTAGACTAACGCCACCTAGCCTATGTTACTCCCCGGTCCGTGCTACCCCTATACCCCAAATTTTGGACTCGGGGCAGACCTTGTGTAGCCGCCAACCCCGAACAGACCGGCTTCGCTCGGGGGTCATAACTCCGAAACCGGAAGTGGTAGACTAACGCCACCTGGCATATGTTACTCCCCGGTCCGAGCTACCCCTATACCCCAAATTTCAGACCCGGGGCAGATGTAGCCGCCAACCCCCAACAGACAGACTTCGCTCGGGGGGGGGGGTCATAACTCCGAAACCGGAAGTGGTAGACTAACGCCACCTGGTCCATGTTACTCCTCGGTCCGAGCTACCCCTATACCCCAAATTTTGGACTCGGGGCAGACCTAGTATAGCCGCCAACCCCGAACAGACAGACAGACAGACAGACAGACAAACGACAGTTATAAATATATATAAAGATAATATAAGACAGGTTATACTTTAGTCAGCTTGTGATTTGTTCAGCCGTCCGTAACCCTAAAACAGAAATTTGAACAAAAGAACACATGAGGGTAGCACATCAAGTACTGTTATTATTAGCCAAACCAGAGCAGAACAGTTGGACGTTGTACCTCATTTTATTTTTATATAATAGTGCATGTTTTATTGTAATATGAAACAGGTTTTACTTCAGTCAGCTTTTGATTTGTTCAGCCGTGACCCTAAACCAGAAATTTGAAAAATAAAACACATCTAATTATTATTATCTGTTTGCTTTATTTGAAGGTTTAGACAATGAAAACGTCCCGGTCAAATTTTCCACAAATACTATTTACTAGCATTTCATTTTTGCGAGAAAGTTCATCCGGACTTTCTGGAGTGGTTTCCCCTTGACAGTGGTGCTGGACGGAGAGTCTCACACAGAGCTGTCTGGTCGTTCGCACGGGACGAAAAACCAAGGTCCCTTGTAGACATTGTCATATCCGCGGATCTTTATTACGCAGCAGCGACATTCCTAATTGTAACAAGGTGCTCAAAAAATGAGGCAAGACATATCCCACAAGTTTTGTCAAACGTGATATCATATTCTTATTTGGAGAGCATGCGCAATAAATAATATTGGTGTTGACTGGAATAACCAGACGCTAGAAACTGACTTGCGGTTGAGACTTCTGGCGTATTTCGCCGAACATAACTTATGACAATTCACAGTAAAACGGACACGATTGAATGTAAAACAGTTTATATAAATTCATATTACATTATTATATGGGTTGCGACCCATTTGTGCCATTTTCTAGGTCCAAAATATTAGCGAATTAGCTCCTTTAATATGGGGTGCCCCACCATAAATAAATATCTCCAAATATCTCGACAATTACACCACAATATCTTTATATACACCAAGCCTTAAATCAGTTTCAAACATTTATAGTCACAAAATAAACGGTCATGTTGTACTTAATAAGCTATGACCATTTAATCATCCATAAATAATACACTGTCGGACATAACATCCGAGCACATGTGAGTAAAAAATAGGTTACGTGCCCTTGTGTTGAAAGTAGTCTCGCTTAACCAGTCTACCGACCATTCTACGTTTGATTAACAGGCCGGGATAATCAAGACTACTTTTTTTACGAAACATAACAGAAAGCTGGAACAATAAATTGAACTTAGAAACACGCACGTTTGGTAACTCAACAATTATTTAAAGAACCTTGTAAAAGTAAAATGAGACTACTGCTAGTATCATGGTTTTGCCCAACGCAAGTATTTCAGAGATATTATTTGTACTAAACCAAAAGATGCCCCTCTTGACGGTACAGTTAATGATAAAGCAATTTAAAAAATAAAACGAACGTAATTTCTAAAGCTGCTGCAGATTTCTTTTAGGTAAATGTGCCCCTGTAAGAAATGAAATGGAGTTTAACGTCCTACTGTTCTGTACCGACTGGGTTAATGAAGACGGGCATACGCCATACAGTGTGCTATGAGAGAAATTTTGCCTGGACAGCGACACTACGACTTACTCTTATATCGAATTCCATCTATGAATGATTCTTATACGTCCACGCCAATGTGCACAAGGGACCTCAGTTTTTCGTCACACCCATACGTTGCCCCTTGCCAGACCCTCTGTCCTGCACCACCGACGAGGGGAAACCACACTTGAAAACCACACCGGGATCAAACTTGGGACATCCAGGTTAGCGAACCAATGTCTTACTCTTACTCACTGAACCATCTGCCCCGCCCCTTCTCTCTCTCTAGGAAGAGAGTGTTGAGATACATAAAGAGCACCCATTCAGATAAAATGAGCACTCTGAGTTCTACAGTGGCATTGATCCGCCCCACGGATCCCTCTGACTTCGCGGACCCCAGGGTGGAAAACACTGTTATAAACATCGTGCTTTTCTAATCTACTTCAAAAACAACTTGACAGATGGAATTCGAGCAAAAACTCGCCCAGGGCACACTACACGGCGTATGGGCGTCTTCATTATCCGAGTTACAGAAAAGTATTAGGTTAAAGCCACTTCTTTTCATTTATTTTCATTCTAGCTGGTGGACAAAAGTAAAATGTTCTGATGTCAATAAATTCTACAAACCTCTTTATACGTTATATCGTAATATCATCCACATGAAGATTAAATTTGCAAATAAATAACATAGGTCGAAAATCTTGTGGAATGTGGTACCACACCGGGGGATAAGAGTGTCTAAGAAGAGATTATTGAAAAAATTGAATTATTTTCTATGTCCAATATAATAATAATAATAATAAGGATTCTTATATTGCGCTAAACTCCAGAACAAAGTGTCTGCTTAAAGCGCTAACAAAACTAAGTTCATCTGTATGAAGTATTAAACAGGTATGTCTTTAAACGTGACTTAAATGTTGTTAGTGACGGGGCAGATTTGAGAGAAACGGGTAGTGAATTCCACTTAATTGCAGCTGCAACTTCCAAGGACTTGAATCCAAATGATTTCAATTTCCATGTAGGCAAAACTAAGTTAAGTTTAGACTGAGATCTAAGATTTCTTGGTGGTTGGTTCCATTTAAACAACGATACACAATAGATAGAATTTTAAAGTCAATTCTTTCAGCGATATGGAGCCAATGAAGTGATTTTAATGCAGGGGTTATACTGCATGGATCTAACAGGAGTTTTTGTGACTAGTCGAGCCGCTGAATTTTGAATTTTTTGCAGCCTTTGTAATAATTCTTTTAGTCGTGACAAAATTAGCGAGCGAGCAAGTGTAGCTGTGGCTTCAGTTGTGAGAAGATGACGAATACTACTAATGTTCTTTATATAATAGTAGCATGTTTTAATAAGATGGTTCACATATCTTGTGGAACTCTTGTGAAAAACACCACAGAATAATATGTAGAATATACTTTCCCAACATCTTACAAGATGATAGGATAAACTATTAATGTTATAGCAAAATAAATAGAAAATGTTTCATAAATTTTTCATAGTCCAAGTTTTCCAAACGCCCTCAAACCTTACCATGTCTATAATTCTGTTTTGATAGCCACAGTATAAACTCCTCTACAAAATTTGCTCATGTTGAC